AAGGAGGATGCTCTAAGGTCTGTCCAGTATTTCTACTCCAGATATATCATGTATTCCAAGGAGAAAGAGTATCTACCCTTTTGTTCCTTTAACCAGCCATGTGACCTTGAATAAGTCACTTAATTTCTTGGAGTATCAGTTTCCTTCCAGATAGAAGGTTTCTGAGTGCTCAGCCGACAGGAGTGTTGTGAGGAGCTGGTGGCAATCAGATCACAGGACTTGGCTGTTGTGGAGCAGGGAATGTCCCTTTCAGTGCTGGGGCCCCCACCCTGAGCACAGGGCTTGGCACTTGGGAACTCTTTGTAGGATGGATAAATAGACAAAAATTTTATATAGCTATTTACTGCCTATAAGTCCAAGTTACTATAAGATTTTAATTCATCCTGTATACTCCCATACCCTAATTCATCCCTAATTTTCAAAATATAACTACCTTCTCCCTATAGGATCTTTCTCAGTGTACACATTTCTACTCCCTTCCCAGTTGACTGTGCTTGTTTGTATCACTTGTGAACTTGTTTGTATTACTAGCTTTTCCTCCTACGATTTGATATTTTATAGTTGACACCCACATACACACACTACCTGGATTTTACTCTTTCCATTTTTACAGTACTTGTTTTATTATATATCCACCTTTCCATTCCATCATCTATTAATCCAAACTAATTTCTTGGTGATATTTTAGATACATTTCACACATTGGTACACTCTTTTGGGGGGGCCCTTGGCAGTGAAAGTGCAGAGTCCTAATCACTGGACCTCCAGGGAATTCTCTATACTTTTATCTAAGTGCTTGAGCATGCATCTCCTTATCTAGAGTTCAATACTTGTTTCTAGAATTTGCACACAATGAAATGCAGAAATATTAAAAGACTACGTTGTGTATGTGTTGAGAGCCTACTGTATATATTCTGTAGCTCATTTTTTTTTCACTATTCTGCCTTTCCCTTTAGATGAACCCTAATCCTTCTAATTACTTCATAGTTTTCTAAATATGGGTGGATTCAGTTTACTTAGCTATTGATAGATGTCTAAAGTTTTCGTACTTTGCTGCAGTAAATATATTTAGCAGATACATGGGATAGAGACCTAGAAGTGGAATTGTTAGGTAGTTAAAGGGTATGCACATTTTCAATTTGATTTAAAAATTTAATAAAAGCCTGGAAGTTGCCAACCAAATAGTCTTTACCAGTTACCACCAGTAGTGTCTCCTTGTACTCTCACCTACACTGAATACCATCATTCTCTTTTTAATTTTTGCTAGTTCCTTTGGGTAATCATTTTACTTTATATTACTAGTGAGGCTATATATAATCTTTCCAGCTAGCTGGGATTCCGTGACCAGGGATCGAACCCACCCCCACCATCCACCCACATTGGGAGCATGGAGTCTTAATCATTGGACCATCAGGAAAGTCCCTCCAACTAGCTTTCAAACTTTTCTAGGGCAAGGGTTGAAATCTTCTACCACCTTCATATCTAAATATTTGCTAAATGAGTGAATGAGTGCTGCCAGAGCATTCCTGCTGTTGGGTAAGGCTGAAGAAAGGATGAATGAGGTAAGTGTGTGAGAAGTTAAAGAAAGCAGAAGTTGCTCAACGTGTGTGTGTGTTAAATTAGTAAAGGAACTCTTCTTTCCTGTTTGTCTTCTCTTCTGTGTGAGGTAGGATAGTGAGGTGGTTAAGAATCCAGGCTCTGGAAGCAGGTTTCGTGGATTCATAGCTGTGCAGCATTGGGCAGTTTACTTAATCTTTGTGCTTCAGTTTCCTTATTTGTAAAATAGAGAATAGTAGCACCTTGCTTACAGGGTTGTTGAATGGATTAAATTATTACTGGTAAATTGTGTAGAATAGTGCTTGACACTCAATATATGCTGCTGTTATGTTAATTATTATCTTTCCCTTCTACATATGCAGTATTTGAGCATCTGTGATGAGTGTCTGGAAGGTGAGAAATGCAGACAAAGTTGAAAAGTACTCTATCTTGAAGAAGCTTACAGACTTCAGGCTTCTTTAGAGGAGTGGAAAAACATTTTGATAACCTGGATCATAGGGTGGGATTGCAAGGATATAATTGGTGAGTTAAATTGTCCCCACAATTAGTGAGAAAGAATTTTGAAGGCTAACTTAAGGAATTTGGATTTTTTTTTTTTTTTTTTGGCTGCACTGTATGACCTGTGGGATTTTAGTTCCCCAACCAGGGATTGAACCCAGGCCCCTCAGCAGTGAGCCTGCCGAGTTGGGTTTCCACCTGGGGACTGCCAGGGAAATCCTGGATTGATGGATTTACAACTGGATTGGATTTGCATTTGAGGCCAACCATTTTAAAAGCAGTGTAGACTGGATGGGAAGGAGGCTGGAAGGTGTTGGTAATGGAGAATGATAAGGTCCCAAAATGAGGAGTTGCCTGTATGACTGGGGGAGAAGCAGTTGATTTGAGAATCATTTAGGGAATAGAATTAAGAGTGGTAATTGTTCAAGAAGTAACGGGCGGTTCACAGAAAGTACAGACCTCGGCAGCCCCTTCAGTGTCACAGAGATGGTCTGGAAGGCAAACTCCAGAGGCAAATGCAGTTAACTGCTTTATAGAATCACACTTTATAAAGGAAATGACATTTTAATAGCTAAAAGATAGGACATGGTCTCAGAATAAAGCATAGTTCTCTAATACTTAACCTTTGGAAAACTCAACTGCAGCCTCCTCCCCCTTCTTTTTCATCTCCTATAGACTTGTCCGTAGACCAGCATTTGGGAATAGCTTCCCACGTGGGGCAGTGGTAAAGAAGCTGCCTGCCAATGCAGGTGACTCAGGTTCAATTTCTGAGTCAGAAAGGGCCTCTGAAGAAGGAAATGACACCCCCCTCCAGTATTCTTACCTGGAGAATTCCATGGACAGAAGGGAGCTAGGCGGGCTACAGTTCATGGGATGGCGAAGAGTGGGACACAACTAGCATGCATGCACACAGAGTAGTCTAATTACATCCTTTTGCAAATAAGAAAACAGGACCAAAGTTACATAGCTTCCAGTCAGTTCAGACTAGAATCCAGGTCTTGACAGGTACTCTAGTCTTTTTTCCATAGTCTGTGCTGTGATCTTCTGATCTAAATTTGGTTTTCCATTTATGAGGTATCAACTGGCTTTTGGTTCCAGCGATTAATCTCAGGTGTGTTTAAGCATCTAGGTTCCATGCCAATAGAACCCAAGATCAAGCTATGATCTAGATCATGGGTTTATATAGAAGTAACAGCCAAGAAGTCTTTAAGACTTTTCACGCTGTTTATTTATTAGACTTACACCCAAATAGGTTGAGATTGAGTGTTCATAGTCAGTTGACTGGCAGTTCTTAAGTATAAATAGCATGTGTAAATCTATATTTCTAACTTATTAATATGTCTGAAAAATTTTGAAATACTGTGCTAAATATGCTACTTCATACTAGAAAAGCCTGGGAAGACATAATCAGTTAAGACATTTTAAATTATTTCCCCTCGGCAGCCATCAGCAGTTTGTTTTCAACTCCAGTTAACTGAATTCAACATATTATCATATAAATTTGGGAGACAGTCCTTTGATCTAAATTTATAGTCAATAGGAACTTCCTGGCAATTCAGTGGTTAAAACTCCACGCTTCCTATGCAGGGGGCTTGGGTTCAATCCCTGGTAGGGGGACTAAGTAAGATCTCATATCCCTCACAGCAAAAAATACAGTATAATCTGCAGAAAGATTAATTATGGCTTGAGATGTACAGAAAGATAATATTGAAAATGGCTGGCTTGCAGATGAAGCAGTTGTGCTCCTGTGTCAGAATCTAACTTAGGTTTGTGAGAACAACCCAAGATGCTCTTTCAGGGCTGAGCACCCGAGTGACAGGCATTGCGAAGATGATGGTGAAGCAGCCTCGAGGAGTCCTTGTGAGGATTGCTTCCCCTCAGGGCATGCACATTCCCAGGAAATGAGGAAAAGAGAGATTTGGGTGTGTTTAGAAAGTAGGTAACCCACTTCCCCCCAATTTTAAAAAGAATCTTGCTTTAGATGGAAAGGGGAGTGGCTTGTGAAGTCTATTACTGTATTTTTAATCTTCTCACCACAGCAGTGGTATCTTTCTTAAGCTATTTTTTGTGACCAGAAAAGTGGTAGGGCTTGGCCCCATTTTGTCTTTGGCTGACTAGACCTCTCTTTCTTATTGATATGCTTGTATTAATGATACCAACGTTGGAAGAGCTCCAAAAAGACCCATCTGGATTCCTGGCCAGAGTGTTACTAGACTTTGTGTGCTGCGGGAAAGGAAGTATTCCCGTACAGGGGGATTATTAAACTGGGGGGTTCTGGAATCACTTTAGGATTTGAGAGTATAAGGAGAAAACTCATTAATGATCAGTTTCAACCTTATTTTATTTTTTAAGAAATAAATTTACATGGAAGGAGGAGCTTATTGGGATGTACATAGTTTCTTAAATTGGCAAGTTTACAACCATTGTCTTACTACTGGCCTAGTATTCTTCCTATGATACCATTTAATTGTTGAAACATTTCATACTTTAAAAATTAGACCACAATTATAGTACTAGCTTTTGAGAGGAATTAGGAAGAAACACTTGAATGTTTTTATAGCCGGTGAATAATATAATTAATATTAGGGATGATGGCACTTGAGAAAACCAGAGAGTAAAGAAAGGTGTATTTGTGTGTTTCTAAATTGGAGGAATAGCCTCCAAAAATATTTCAACTCTGCTGTATCAAGGTAATTCAAACTGGGTTGTTATTTACATTTTTGTCTCTCAGTTATGATAATCTGTCCACTGTTGGGAGTGTGTGGCCCCCCATGCACTTAAACTACCCAGTGATCATCTCCAGATGCAGTAGATAGTCATTGACTCCAGGAGTTGAACTTTTGGGTACCTGGTTGTGCACGTTACATTGGAGTGTGAACTGGTTTGCATGTTGTTGCTTTTGGTTTCTGCAGGTTTTGTAGTGCATCCCTGAGCATGAGCGCAGAATGAAGCGACGTTTGGATGACCAGGAGTCACCGGTGTATGCGGCCCAGCAGCGTCGGATTCCTGGTAGTGCAGAGGCTTTTCCTCACCAGCACCGGGTGCTTGCCCCAGCCCCTCCCGTGTATGAGGCGGTGTCTGAGACCATGCAGTCAGCCACGGGGATTCAGTACTCCGTGACTCCCAGTTATCAGGTAAGCTGGAGCCCAGCAAGGGACTAGGGTGAAGGAAGAACGCTGGTGATTCATCCAGTTGCAGAGTTTTTATTAAACATTCGGGTATTAAAAATCTATTTATGGGATATATGTAAGGTATTAAAAATAATGTAAACAATGTACACCTGTGTATTTACCACACACATTTTTTTAAAGAGTGTTGTTGTAACCTTTGAAGTTCATCGTGTCTTTCCATGGTCCCTTTTGCTTTTCTATCCTTTTAGAGGTAGCCACTAATCTGAACTGTATTATTTCCGTGACTTTCCTTAGTGTTCTAAAGTCTTTCTTCTCCCTGATTGAAGTGTCTTTGGCTGACGGTGCTGTGTTGGTTTCTGCTGTACGGCTCAGTGAGTCAGTTGTGTGTGTGCATGTATCCACGCTTTATTTTCTTTCCCCACGCAGGCCAGTACAGAGTATTGACTAGGATTCCCTGTGTTATATGAAACCATTTTATTTATACATACAGATAATAAAGTTGTTTAGTTTGGGTATTTTTGAACTTGTATCTAAAGTAAAAATGTATATTTTCTTCTTGGATTCATTTTTTTTTTTTACCCATTCAGTGTGGTTCCTAAGACTTATCCATTTTCATATATGTGACCAATTAAGTGGAATTTTCACTCGGTTATGAGTTACATGAATATATTCAATTAATTTATCCATTCTTCTGTTGATAGAGTATCAAGCTGTTTCCAGACTTTTCCTGTTAGACAGGAGCTGCAGTGAGTGTTCGAAGATTTTCCTAGTACAGTAGTACTCACAGTGGCAATCCCTGGCAAGATAAGCTTGCACCAGACTATGAGTTGGTGCACTACATATTTTATTAAGAAGGTTTTGCTATGGAAATAAAAAAAGGCAGTGGAATAAAGCAGTGTATTTATTAGTGAAGTAGTTGGTTTGCATTCTGGTGCAAGCTGCTTATTTTTGCAGACCATTCTTCAGGTCTGCTTATTTAACTTCTATGCAGAGTACATCATGAGAAATGCTGGGCTGTAGGAAGCACTAGCTGGAATCAAGATTGCTGGGAGAAATATCAATAACCTCAGATATGCAGATGATACCACTCTTATGGCAGAAAGTGAAGAAGAACTAAAGAGCCTCTTGATGAAAGTGAAAGAGGAGAGTGAAAAAGTTGGCTTAAAGCTCAACATTCAGAAAACTAAGATCGTGGCATCTGGTCCCATCACTTCATGGCAAATAGATGGGGAAACAGTGGAAACAGTGGCTGACTTTATTTTTTTGGACTCCAAAATCACTGCAGATGGTGATTGCAACCATGAAATTTAAAAGTGCTTACTCCTTGGAAGGAAAGTTATGACCAACCTAGATAGTATATTAAAAAGCGGAGACATTACTTTGCCAACAAAGGTCTGTCTAGTCAAGGCTATGGTTTTTCTAGTAGTCATGTATGGATGTGAGAGTTGGACTATAAAGAAAGCCAAGCGCCGAAGAATTGATGTATTTGAACTGCGGTGTTGGAGAAGACTCTTGAGAGTCCTTTGCACTGCAAGGAGATCCAACAAGTCCATCCCAAAGGAGCTCAGTCCTGGGTATTCATTGGAAGGACTGATATTGAAGCTGAAACTCCAATACTTTGGCCACCTGATGCAGAGAGCTGACTCGTTTGAAAAGACCATGATGCTGGGAAAGATTGAGGGCAGGAGGAGAAGGGGACAACAGAGGATGAGATGGTTGGATGGCACCACCGACTCAATGGACATGGGTTTGGGTACACTCTGGCAGTTGGTGATGGATAGGGAGGCCTGGCGTGCTGCGGTTCATGGGGTCGCAAAGAGTAGGACACGACTGAGCGACTGAATTGAACTGACCTGCAGGTCTGAGGACATAGTAGGAAGTTTGAGTGTCTGGGAGAGGGTTTGCTGGGCCATAGGATATATACATCTTCACCTTTAGCAGGTAACATCAAATTGTTTTTCAGAGCTGTCCCAGTTTATTTCTGTTTACTCCAGCACTGTATATTCCTTTCATTGCATATCCTGATCAACACTGATCATTCATCTCTTTTCTGTTCACTCTTTTTTGTAAAAATATAAGAAATTTATGTTTTTCCCTTTTTAGTTATGAAAGTAAATGTCACCGTTTTTTAAAAAAAAGGATATAATGTGACTTCTTCCTCTGAACCCTCAGACTTAACCCCATTGGGTGCATTTCTCGGGTATTCAGAGTTTTCTCTGCATATGCAGGCATGTTTATTTACCTTTCTAATTATCTCGATGCACTTCTCTCTTTACATAATTTAGGTCATACAGTGTATACTGTTCTTTCTTTTCACTTAATATGTAGTGGACAACTTTGCACTTGAATATATATATGCTGCTGCTGCTAAGTCTCTTCAGTCGTGTCTGACTTGGTGCGACCCCATAGACAGCAGCCCACCAGGCTCCTCCATCCTTGGGATTCTCCAGGCAAGAATACTGGAATGGGTTGCCATTTTCTTCTCCAGAATATATGTATAGATCCAAGTAATTAAATATATATATATATTTATTTACTCATCTGCTCCAGGTCTTAGTTGCAGCATGCGGGATCTTTAGTTGTGGCATATGAACTCTTAGTTGTGGCATGTGGGATCTAGTTCTCTGACCAGAGATTGAACCCGGGCCCCCTGCATTGGGAGCTTGGTGTCTTAGCCACTGGACCACCAGTATATATCCCAAGTAATTTTTAAAAAAATCATTGCATATATAATATTCCATTCCAGGTCAGTCAGAACCATAACTTATGTAACTAGTCTAGAGAGGCACAGGTTGGGCTGGCACAGGAGTTCCCTGGTAGCCTGGTGGTTAGAATTCTGGGTTTTTCACTGCTGTGGCACCGGTTCAGTCCCTGGTCAAGGAGCTTAGCCCCTGCAAGCCATGTGGTGCAGCCAGAAAAAATAAAGTAAAAATGAAAAAATAAAAAGGTTTGACTGGTACTGGTAATATAAATTGGTTTAATCTTCCTTGAGAGCGATTTGATAGTTTGTATCAGAGTTGTTATTTTTTTACCTAGCAATTCCGTATCTAGGAATTATAAGAAAACAGTCAAGAAAGAGGGAAACCTGGATGAAGTAGGAAATGGTAATTCCTTAGGTGTCACACCCCCACTGGAGCCCGCCTTGAAGCAATATAGTACCTTCTAGGAATTATAAGAAAACAGTCAAGAAAGAGGGAAACCTGGATGAAGTAGGAAATGGTAATTCCTTAGGTGTCACACCCCCACTGGAGCCCGCCTTGAAGCAATATAGTACCTTCCTATGGGGCCAGGTGGGGCAGTCAGAGGACTGCTACAGATCACATCACTAGATTAGGACTTGGAGGAAAGAAAGGTAGTGTGTTTTCCTTGGCTGATTACTTTTGTCTGAACTAGTTCACGACTTTCTCCTACACCTGGGATAATCACATTTATTCCTATACCAGAAACTATAACGTGCTCTTATAAAACCAGCCATCACAAATATTTGTAAATGCTAGTTAAGTCTTACAAAAACCCGTTCAGTATGTGCATGTTGTAATATAAAAAGCTCAGAAACATATAACTCTTCTTACAAGTATTAGAGCTTTTTGAATCGTCTAAATAGTTTCTTTTTACTCCTAATGTTTATTGTTTCTGTGGATTTGTAAATAGTTGCTCTATTTCCCACCTTCTACTCTGCCCAGGGTAATTTTAAAAGTAGCAAATAAGGGGAATTCCCTGAGTCCTAGTCAGGTGGCTGGAGACTTGGAGCTTTCACTCCAGGAACAAATAACAATATACAGAACAAATAAAACAAAATAAAAATATTCTCTAACTCTACCATCACAAAATAAAATGGTCACATTTTACTATGTATTTGTTGTCTAGGATTTAAAATTTTATTATATTTTTTTTCTGAACGTTAATTTTTTTATTCTAGTATAGTTGATTGGCAATGTTGTGTTAGTTTCAGATGTACAGCACAATGTGTGTGTGTGTGTGTGTGTATAGGATTCTTTTCCATTACAGTTTATTACCAGATCCTGAGTACAGTTCCCTGTGCTATACAGTAGGTCTTTGTTGGTTATCTGATTTATATATAGTATGTGTATATGTTAATTACAAACTCCTGATTTATTCTTAGTGTATTATATATACTGCTTTGTGTAATATGCTTTAAAAAATTATTTAAAAGTTTAAATTCATATGCAACACATGAATACATTCAGTTTATGGATTGTGAACATTTTTAAGTGTTAAAATATTTGCCTATCTATCAGTGCTATTCAAACTGTGGTCCACAGATGGTTGATATGAATACTTTCATACTAGTCTGTAATGAGATAAGAACAGAAATGGAGTGTTTAGAAACTTCTTTAGCAATTGGACATTGTAATTTTATGTCTGTAAAACCTTGTAATAAAAAATAGGGGCTTATGTATTTTTATCTCACATTATATATAGTAATTCATTTTTATTGTATTTCATAAAAGTAGTAGTCCATGAAGGATCAGAACTTAAGAAACAAGAAAAACTGGTCCTTCGCCACAGATAGTTTGAGATATACTGAGCTATATAATTTTTAATAGCTGAGAATTCTGCTGTAAGATGGGTGGGCTATAGTTTATTTCACCAATTCTCTTTTGTGGGAAATTTGGGTTTCTGGTAATCTTTCTGCATGTGTGTTCTTTGGAGGCGTTTGGGGAAGAACGCACAAGCCTTGAAGCTTCTCATCGGTGTTTCGTCTGTTCTAGGTTTCAGCAGTGCCGCAGAGCTCCAGCAGTCATGGGCCCACCATCGCAGCGGTGCATAGCAGCCATCATCACCCCACAGCCGTGCAGCCCCATGGAGGCCAGGTGGTCCAGAGTCACGCTCATCCGGCTCCACCAGTTGCACCAGTGCAGGGACAGCAGCAGTTTCAGAGACTCAAGGTGGTATTCCGCCCCTTCCATTTCTCTCTTAGCAGGCATCATTGACTTCAGCTTGTTACTAGTGGTGCTACAGCTGTTTACAGTAGGCTGGGGGCTGAATGACAGGAGGCCTTACTTTGTTTTTGTTTCGAAACCTATTTAGATTTCCTGTCTTAACACCTTGTGCCTGATCCAGAGAATACATTCAAGAGATGTTTTTGGAATGAATGTGTGGTGTTCAAACGTTCCAGGATTGAGGAGCTATTTTCATATGAAATAAAGTCCATTTTTGGATGCCTGCTTTTGAACTCTTTAGTTCTTAGCGTGGAATAAGGTTTTATTAACATACACATGGTTGACTATAGTCCTGTCTGGTAAATGGACCCAAGTATTATGGTTTAATCTTCTTATTCTTTATGACTAGCTGAATTGGCTAGCATCATCAAGTCCATCCTTAGTAAATCACATGCTCCTTTCGGGAAACCTTTATGAAGTTTGGGAAAGGCTGTCATTGTGAGTAAAAAGTCAGTGTTTTCATCTGATCTACTGAGTGTATGCTGTAGGTTTTCAACACTTTGAAATTCATGCATCCATGGAGAAATGAAACTTTCATTTCCAGCTAACCTTCTCTCTCTGTTTAGTTGAGTGTTACTTTTCCAAATGTGTGATTATGCTAGTAAGTTTTCCAGATTTCTTTTTTTCCCCCTAGTTTTTATATAAAATTTGAAATCAAGTGCAAGAAGTATAAAACTGAAGACCTATAAAGAGATAAGATGTTGTATCTTTATTTGGTCATACAATTGTAATTATATCAAGTAGCTTGCAAGTAAGAATGAACAATGTATCCTTAAAGGACACATCTGTGTGTAGCAGATATTTCATCTCTCTCTTTTTTTGGTACTTAATCTAGTTCTCCCTGACTCTTGCCCTCATTGTTTTGGGCTCTCAAGAACTTTTTAACATTGGCCTAAAGAAATTAAATGTTACATAAATAAAAGCACACCAAAGCTACAGGGATTTTGTACAATTTACTCTGTATATTAGCTTAAGTAATTATGAGTTGACTACGCATAAACATAGTCCTAAAGAGAGTAGAAATTATTTGGGCCTGAAACTTTACTCTGGGCTCTGTGTTTGGGAAAATTTTGTAAGTTATATCAATGTTTTCCTTAAAACATTTTTACTTTCTGTTTGTAGAGTGGTGGCTGTATACCAAGATGTATTATTGTTACAAACTTAGAACTTCACCAAGTCCTGAAAAAAATTTTTAAGTTGGTTTGGTGTGACTAAATTCCATATTAATACTGTATTTAGCAATTGATACCTTAATGTTGCAAAAGCACTTATAACTGACTTATTAAACTAACAAAAAATATACATTTATTTCTATATCCTTTTTCCAGTCAGCCCTGTCAAAGCACAGCACCTATTTTATTCTCCTTCCTCACTTGGCTATAAGTATATAGAGTGTGCTTTGTATGTTTTATAGGTGCTGTCAAGGAAGCAAGAAAGGGCTTTAGAGTTGGGGTTATAGAGTGAGTCACAGGTTGAGTTAGGTTTTCTTGCTCTGTTCTCTTGGTTACAAGCTCTTGAATGTGATTCCTGGACGTAATAACTTGTTGAATTTCCTATCTAACAAGGAGAGGTAAAATGGTTTCTTGTGCCTCCGTGTAATTTCATTTAATTTTCTCACATCGCTTGCCATTTTTGGATCAGTCTTAAAATGTTTTACAAGCATTTGAACCAACTTCAGTAAACCATTTATATTCTATAATAAGGAAGTGTTCAGTGAGAACTCTTAGCTTATTTCATGCATCGACATTGTCTATACTTCTTCTTTGTCTTTGGCAGATTAATGACAAGGAAGATTTGAATAATTATTTGTTGAATGCCAGCAGCGTACATATTTGGCACATATTTAGCAAGTTCTCTATACAGTTATTTGCTTGTCTCCCCAACAACGTTGTGAACTCCAGGAGGTTGGGGACCTTACTAATAAATGCCTGTTGAAGTGAGCCAGGAAGATGCATCAGCAGACTCTTAAGACCCGCCCCACATGCCTCCTTAAACCTGTAGCTTTCAAATGATTCCTTCCAAGTTGTGTTCTTCTAAGTAATGATTGCTAGAACTGTATACATGCTTTGATAAAAGAGTTGTACTCTACTAATTTTTAAACAGTGGTTCATTATGACCTATACCTTTTTCTTCCAGACACACAGACATCACGTATACTTTGCTTCTTCAGGTTTCAGCACTTTTTCTCTCTGTGTATTTATTATATTACATGGTAGAGTGCTTGTTTTTGTTTCTTATTTTTTGTATGTTTGTTTTTGATAACTCTTCTGTTGTGACTGTGACTACTATTCTTAAATATCTTCCAAAGTCTTTCCCTTCTGCAAACTTACTGAGTTTTAGGTTCCATCAATTTGGTCACTAATGAAACATTTCAGTATGGAAAATTCTGAATATTGAATTTCAACAAAAATTGTCATGTTATTTATAAAGTACCAAAAGACCAACCTCCAGTGAGTTGGTATCGACCAGGTATACACACAGTGCTCTGGCAACACAAATGCTCTCGTTAACCATGGCTATAGTGGAAGTTCGGGCAACTCTTGAGCTACTGCTCTTTAATGGCTTATTTGATCATAAAGATTCTGTTTCACAACATGTCACAAGAGTAGTGCTTGTCAAATCAGATGTTTACTTGTGAAACTTTCCTAAACTTGCTGTTATATAGAATTAAAAATAATCCCAGAGTATGTAGGATACACCTAGTGGGCAGTTCCCTTAGATATCTCCTGAGTAACTAAAACTCAGGTTGTCCTAGATCACACTTGTAACTTTCTGGCCCTTCAAACTTATTCCTCTTTGTGAATGCCCACATGGTGTATAATTTAGTGAATGCCCTCTCTGCCTTATCTTCCATATATAGTCAGTCAGCCCCCAAACCCTGTCACTTCTGTCTCCTAAAAAGCTTTTGAGTCTGTCCAGTTCTCTCTTTTTGTTTGGTCAGTACTGTAATTTATGCCACTCCTGTTCACACATGAGTTAACCTTATAGCGTGACTGGTTTTCCTACCTCCTTTTCATCATCTGTTTTTCCTGCACCAACTCGTTCTCAGTTTTGTAGCCAAATTGATACACTAAAGTGCAGATGATAAAAATCTGAATTGCCTTCTAGATCTAAAAATCTAGATCCTTTTAGGGTCTAGATCTTGCATCGTCTTCCTGTGTCATCTATCATCACTCTTCCTACCACCATTTCTTCTTTTCACCACAGATCCTCTAGCCAAACTAAACTGTTTTCACATTTCCATATATACCAGATGGTGTCGCATCTGCAGTTTTGCCCATGCTGCTTCCTCTGACTTTCTTCATGGGTCTTCATTTTTGCTAACTTGTACTCATTCACAGGACTTAGATCAGACACCATTTCTTTAGGAAGCCCTCTGGTATGTCCCCATAGGTTGGTTGGTTGGTTTATTTTCTTGTGTGTGGAGGGGTTCCCTTCCCATGTGCTCTCTGGGCATTTGGTGATTGCCCACTTTCCCACTGTGTTATTACTCCCAACTGGATGTGGAATGAACTTCTGTACAGCAGGGCATACCATGGCTTATTTATCATTAATTCCTTAGGACCTCACGTTGGGCCTGGCCTAGCATGTTGTTGCTTCTTAGTAAATATTTATGAAATGAATAAATGAATGAATAAGTGAATGACGTATGGATGTGATTATTCTTCACTAATAATTCTGTGCAGAACTATTCAAAGCAAGGTTACAGATTTTATGAGTTAATTTTTATTTTAAGCTTGAGTTATATTACTGGTACCCATGTTAATTTTTAGTGTTTTTAATGTATGTTTACTATATGTTTCTATTTCATTTAATATGCTGATTTTATTTAGGTATAAATCAATCTTGTAGAAGTAATTCTTGCCTGGCTTTTCTCTTAATAACCTTGAGATTTGTTCCTGCCTCAGGTGGAGGATGCACTATCCTACCTTGACCAAGTGAAGCTGCAGTTTGGTAGTCAGCCTCAGGTCTACAATGACTTCCTTGACATCATGAAGGAGTTTAAATCTCAGAGGTAAAAGATACATGTAGTTGTACTTGAGAATTTTGCTTTGTTATTTTGGTTCTGGAAGGAGGATATAGCTTATTCTCATCTGCTGAATGATAAAGGGCTCTTTGGAGGGGGTTGTGCTTTTATTTCCATGGGTCATGTTTTTGTTTTATATATTGTTATATAAAAATTGCAGGCCCAACACCTTTATTTTCTGCATATTGATAAATTTTTCTTAGTACTTAATCTCAGTCAGGGAAGTAAACTGGTAATGATTAGGCTACTTGCTTTTTGGATTAACTTAAGATACCCTAATATTCTGGCATGGTTCACTATTATAAAAGAGTAACTCATCTGAACAGTGTATATAGATACATAACTTACACTGGTGTATCAGGGGTTGGATCTTGCATGGGAATTGGAGTTGAAGACTTACTGCCTAAGTATTTGTTTCATGGGACTGTTAGCATGCTTGAATGTCTGTTCTGACCAAGCCTCTTTGGTTATGAAGATAAATGGCTTTGAATTTCAGAGGTCTTGGGTGTGGTTAATTTTGTAATATTCAGGTTGATTTTTATTTTCCTGTATAGAGAACCTACTGGAATGTGAATTTTGTCTTGCCAGGGTGCTTTGTCAAGCTTGCAACTTTAATATTTGTGTGTTTTTTTTTTTTTTTAAATCAGCATCGACACTCCAGGAGTGATTAGTCGTGTGTCCCAGCTGTTCAAAGGCCACCCTGACCTGATCATGGGCTTCAATACCTTCTTGCCCCCTGGCTACAAGATTGAGGTGCAAACCAATGACATGGTGAATGTGACAACTCCTGGCCAGGTTCATCAGATCCCAACCCATGGCATCCAGCCCCAGCCTCAGCCACCACCCCAACATCCTTCCCAGCCTTCAGCCCAGTCAGCCCCAGCACCTGCCCAGCCAGCTCCTCAGCCCCCACCTGCCAAAGTCAGCAAGGTGAGCACTTGGAAAACTCTGCACCCTGTGAAATGCATCCCTAGAAAGCACCCTCCTTTGACATTTTCCCTTCGTATATAAGGCTTAGATAGATAACACAAGTTAAAATTTCATCAGAGAAGATGCAAGTCACATTCCTATAAAGTGGCTCACATTTACACACCACATAGTTATATATCTGTTTAAGTCTATACATCAGCAACCTGCATGGACTCTCTTGCCCCCAACTTCTGCTGTTTGAACCCATGAGCATCCCAAGAAGTGATAGCTTTGTGTAATAGTACTTTGATAACACAGGCAGAAATGGTCAGCTTATGATCAGATTACACTGTTTTCTGTATGGTCATCATTTTACAAAAAGTTACTCTGTTTACCAGATTAGGCCATATCAAGCTAAGCAGAAGATCTTGATGATGATGATGATGATGATGAGGTGTCCTTAGTACAGAGCTCTACTGATATAGTAGCCATGAGTCACATATGGCTATATTTAAATTAATTAAAATAAATTTAGTTTTTCAGTTGCACCAGCTACATTTTAAGCGCTCACTGGTTTCATGTGGCTAGTGGCTATTGTGCAGAATAATGCAAATAAAGAACATTTCCATCACCTTAGAGAGTCTGCTGGGCAGAGTTTGTTTAGAAGACTTTTTTATGTGGCATTAACTGCAGCAATTGAATTGTCTTTTTTGACATTAAAGATCTATGTAGAATAAGGTTTTTTTCCTATTCTGTTTGCACCTGTTAATCAAGGAAGCTTAAAAATTGCATATTAAAAATCTTCCCTGTAATTGGAGACGTCGCCCACTTTTAAGATTGTGTTTAGAAAATTTAAGGCTGGAATTTTTGTATTACAATGTATGAACCCTCTGCTCTTGCCACTCCTGCTCAGTGTGATTTGAGCTGGGCTAAGATGGCCTAGCCAGAGTGAATAAAGTATATGTGTTAATCAGACACCTTGTTTCTCTTTACTTTGAACTTTCTTTCCTGTGTTAAACCATCTGTATTCCTGAGGAGAATAAAGACTTTTTTCTTTTTAGCCTTCCCAACTACAAGCACATACTCCAGCCAGTCAGCAGACTCCCCCACTCCCACCATACGCGTCCCCACGTTCTCCACCTGTCCAGCCTCATACACCAGTGACAATCTCGTTGGGAACAGCCCCGCCCTTGCAGAACAATCAGCCTGTGGAGTTTAACCATGCCATCAACTATGTTAATAAGATCAAGAACAGGTTCCAGGGCCAACCAGACATCTACAAAGCGTTCCTGGAGATTTTGCACACATATCAGGTAAGACAGTTGCCCTTTCAGCCTGTCTTAACCAGTTTGCCTTCTGGGGACAACTAGTCTGAGAAGAACTAGTTATTGTGGACACAGTTGTGTCCACTAATTCTTACTGGTAGTTAACCAGTTAGAAATTGTGATGTGTGTTTGTAAAGCCAGTTTGATTTACCTGACTTTAATTGCCTTGTAGCAGCCAGTTAGGATTTTTAAAGTCACTGCTCTGTGAAACAGTGCTATTTATTTGGAAGTTTAAAGAATGATTTGTGTAATATAGTTAAAGTACAATAGAAGGAGAAATTTCTCTAATATTTTGTGTTTTATAAGTCGGTAGTGATCCCCTGATCTTTCACACACACTGCTCTGGTTTTCAAAAGGAATTGTCAGCCACCATCTTCCACTACTTTCTCAACTTCAAAGTTTGAAGCCAAAAACAGGTGCTAAGAACATAGACTTTCCTCTTAACTGCAGTCCAAATAGATAACATACAAAGCCCCTACAAGGCTTCTCAGAAAGGGTGCAAAAGCAGGTCATTCAAAACAGTGCCCCTTTAATATGATCTCTTCCCGTTTGCAATTTCCTATCAGAAAGAGCAGCGAAATGCCAAGGAAGCTGGAGGAAACTACACTCCAGCACTGACTGAGCAGGAGGTGTATGCCCAGGTGGCTCGTCTCTTTAAAAATCAGGAAGACCTGTTGTCAGAGTTTGGACAGTTCCTACCAGATGCCAACAGCTCTGTGGTAAGTTATTTAGAAGAACTACACAATTGAGAATGGTTGTGATAAGTTAGGAAGCTGGAATCAGAAGGATACTCTTTCGAAATAACTTGCTTTGATAAGAGCACTCATCTCTTTCATGTGTTCTTAATCAGCTTTTAAGCAAAACAACTGCTGAGAAGGTTGATTCTGTGAGAAATGACCACGGAGGCACGGTGAAGAAACCTCAGCTGAACAACAAGCCGCAGAGGCCCAGCCAGAATGGCTGCCAGATTCGCAGGCACTCTGGAACGGGGGCCACCCCTCCAGTGAAGGTGAGGAGGTCGCAACTGCTCATTGTGACTTTCAGGAACGGTAGTAGCAGACAGTGCACAAGGCTGACACTTGGATCCTGGATATTTGAAGTTAGTTGGTGTGTGTCACAGAAACTCAGTTCAAATCTTTTTATCTGGCTTTGCGAAGGAATGTTAGACTACTAATTGCTCCAATTACTTTTGAGTTCTTACAGGTTTTCTTTATAGTTTCTCCCTTCTTTGCTATTAGCTCTCATCTATTTCTTTGTTTCCTGCCAAGGGTTTCTGAGACTTTATTTTTCCTACCTTGTACTAAGAAAGAAGCTGATTAAATTGATAATTGTTTCCAAAATAAGTCGGTGTTCTCTGAGGTCCTCTTGTGAGTCAAGTGCAAATGCTTTGTGGGATCTCCTAGGTCTAGAGGTCTGTTCTGCCCAAGGTTCTTTGTTGGGTTGCCAGATCTTATCTGCATCATCTTAATCTCCAAGGAAGGACTTTGGGGGGGTGCAGCAGAGGGCGGTCTTAAACTCCTGTTAGTGACTTATCATGGTGCTCCTTGTTAGGGTAAACACTGATGGTCTGCCTGCAGAAAGCTGAGCCCACTCTCTCCCTCCTTGATGTGGGGCAGCAGTGCTAGGGAGTGGGTTCTGTGTATGTATTGAATGTTGTGTCAGTGAATTCTGAAGCTGTATATGATGTTGAAGAGATAGACGTGTCTTCAGAATTTAAAGAATAACAAAAGCTAGTGGAATATCTTATGGGAAGAAGTGACTGGTAAATAAGCAAATAACCACTAAGACTGACCTGTAAGGTGCTGACACTTTGGAAGGACTGTTGAACTATTTTTCAATGTTTGTAATGGTTTCTCGTTTTGAAAGCCAGCTGAACATAGTAATCGTGTATGTTTCTTCACTTTAGTAAGGAATTTTACTAATTCGAGTAGCAAGAATCAGGTCAGCAGATAGGCGCCAATCTTGGTCTCCTCCCACACTTGATTACCCGCAGGTGGAAATCCTATATTGGGAGGTTAGGATTCCCTGTCTGCCTTTTCCTCAGGCAGTATAGGCAGAGGCTGTGACTCCTAAGAGAATGCAGTCCATAGTTACAAAGGTAAATGTGCTGCTTTTCCCAGAATGTGCATTTCTTCACAGGCATTTGAGAGGTGATTTCTTTATAGTAAATTTTCTGCCTGGAGTTATGTATGACCCATTCATTTGCTTTAAAAGAGCAATCTTAAATTGGCCTGAGTGGATATTACTGACAAGGTAGTTATTCCTTCTGTTAGGAAAATAAACGTTTTTTTTTCATGATTTTTTTCAGTTGAACCATTTAAAGGTAAAGGTTAAAGATTGATTACTGTGTATTCCAGATATTTTTATAGCCTCTTCTGCCTCCACAGCTAGGAAAATAAAACAATAGCATTTGGTTCCTAATAAAGTTACTTTTAGCCCATGGAAAAAAGTAAGGATATTCTAACATCACAGTAATGCTGTGACCATTTATGGAAAGAGTTCTTGGCAAGTAGAATGACCTGTGAACCTCTGAGGGGAAATGACAGGCAATCTGAAAAACTAGGGAAGATGAGTGGAAATCTTTTAAGATGTAAAGCAAGTTAGTGACTTGAATTCTCTGATTTGTTGCAAATTATTAATCAGTGGTGGTCAGTGATGGAACCTTAGAACAGAGATGATAATAAAACTCAGGGGATTCCCTGGCAATTCATTGGTTAGGATTCTGCCCTCTCACTGCCGGAAGCCCAGGTTCAATCTCTGGTCGGGGAACAAAGATCCCACACTACAGGGCACGGCCAAAAAAGCAAAAACAGAAAATAACATAAAGCCCAGTGAAACCCTCTCTTTGGATCTTACATGTTTATGTTTTTCCTTTTTTACAGAAGAAACCCAAATTGCTCAGCCTCAAAGATTCTTCTATGGCAGATGCCAGCAAGCATGGTGTAGGAACGGAATCATTATTTTTTGATAAGGTGAGTAATGAATGAATTGGATTTGATTGAACCCGTGTCTCTCATGTCTCCTGCATTGGCAGGTGTGTTGTTTACCACTAGCACCACCTGGGAAGCCCTGCATCACTTTGAAAGACAATGCGTCAAATTGGAAGACTCCTAATATTGGCTACTAATGCCCAGAGAAAATCACCTTGTCCCCAAGAAGATTTTGTTTTAGAGGCATCAAGCTGGTTAGGACTTTGTACTTTCTAACGTAGATTTCAAATTGTAGGTCTTTGCCATCTTTGAGAGCTGTTAGCACAACTAGAGAAATGGTAGCACCATTTGCTTTAATTTTGTGAAATAGTTTGCAGCAAAATATAGCAATTTGCCTTGTGGAAAAAAGCGTTACAAGAAGTGCTTGATATTACTCTCTAAAACTATTGCGCTCCTATTATAGATACCCAGGTGTATATAGTGAGGCATGTCAGTACACCAGTTGTTGAGGACTTAAAATGACTTGTAACCTCAGTACTTGTGAAACTTATTTGTGGTATTAAATATTGATTCATGGGAATTCTGATTTAATTGTATGTTGTCAAAATTCCCCAGGTGATTTTTTTTTTTTTTTAAGTTTTGGTTGTGCTGGGTCTTTGTTTTCATAAGGGCTTTTCTTTAATTATGAGCAGGGACTACTCTCTATTGCGATGCATGGGCTTCTCATTGCCATGGCTTCTCTTGTTTTGGAGCACTAGCCCCAGAGTGCGTGAGCTCAGTAGTTGTGCCCCACAGGCTTAGTTTCTCTGAGCCGTGTGGGATCTTCCCAGACTATGGATTGAACCATGTTTCCTGCACTGGCAGGCAGATTCTTTACCACTGAGCCACCAGGAAAGTCCTGCACCTCTGGGTTTTTGCAAAAGGGCAAATGATTTAGCATCTCCATGATTGGTGCCTCCTGGGTCCATGGCTCTGATCTGAATCTTTTCTGAGGGCTGCCTGGGCACTTGGTGCCTTTGAGGCAAATGTAAAAGTCCAGGTCACAGCCAAAAGATGGCAAGAAAAGGGTGAGGGAGGGGGACTGAACAAGTTAATTTTTTAAAATAGTGATGGTGTTCGTTGTTGTTTTCAAGGTATTATTTCTTAGACGCACTTAAAAAAGTCTGGAGTTCGCTTGATAATTCAGGGAAATGATTAGTGTTTGGGTTATTAAAATTCTCAGCACTGTAAAGAAAGGAGAAATGGAGAAAGGAAACAGGTCAAGTCAGAGGACAAAAGTACCTTATTTTAAAAGGTTATTAGTCAGAATTACTAGAGTTTGAAAAGAGTGTTGAAAAGAGTCTGTAAACATCCATTAGGAGAAGCAACAAAAACTTGGGCAACACTCATATGGTTCAGAGAATCAGGCTTGTGAGAAGTAAATGTCTTATTTACTCCAGGATCTCTTTTTTCAGAATTTTTATTATAGGCATTTTTAAATATGTGAAATTAAAGAGAATGGTACAATGGCACCGCATGGACCTGTCGTCCAGCCTCAGCAGGTCTCAGCTCCTAGCTGGTGTGCTTGTTTCACGTGTACTCTCACCTACCCCAGATTATTTGAAGACAAGTCTCGGATAATAAATTGTTTCACCCATAAGTATTTTACTAAGTTTTCTTTCTTTTTTAAATATTTGTTTATTTGGCTGTGCCTGGTCTTAGTTGTGGCACACGGGATCTAGTTCCCTGATCAGGAATCGAACCTGGTCTTCCTTCATTGGGAGCGCAGAGTCTTAGCCACTGGACCACCAGGAAAGTCCCTAAGTTTCCTTTTTTTCAAACATAAGCATTAACACATCTGAAAAAACCAAAATTGATTCTTAATATCGTCAGATAACAGTTCAAGTCTCCCTAGGCTTTTAAAAGCGATCCAGGATCTCTTGATTTCTCAGTTAATTATTTTTCTTTCGGTTGTCTCCATAAGGTCCGAAAGGCTCTGCGGAGTGCAGAGGCCTATGAAAATTTCCTGCGCTGTCTTGTTATCTTTAACCAGGAGGTGATCTCTCGGGCAGAGCTTGTTCAGTTAGTCTCTCCATTCCTGGGGTAAGTGGAATCAGGAGCTTGGCCCTGATGCATGATATGGAGGTGAAATAAAACTTAGTTTGTGGGAGTATATGATAGACAAAATTAATTTGATTGTGGTGGGTCAGTTGACTCATAAAATGTTAGTGCTAAGAGAGTCCTCTGCAAAGTCTTCTAGTTCAACTTTGGAAATGAAAAAATTGGCAGACGGCGTGTTGGCCAAGACTAGTGGTCTCCTGATCCCCTGACCAATGTTGGATGTTTTACATAGACCAGTCTCTTCCAGGGTTCTAGAATCTTGACTTTGACAACTAAAGAATTATCTGAACTTTGAAACAATATTCTTGATTAGAAGGATGGCTGGTTCTCGCCTTGTTTCGGTACAGTTCTTGTGTCACTGCCTTAACTGATCTTAGAGCACTCTGTAAGAAAAGGAGAAGCCAGGTATTTAAAAGCAGTACTTCTTAGGTAAGAAGTGATAATTGTCACTGGAATTTGTCCAATGATAGCAGAGTTCTGACTCTACATCAAATGGTAGTCACACCTCAGCATTACTTCATAATGCTTCTACTTGCTCACCAGTTTTTGGTTTGATTCTTTAGGAAATTCCCAGAATTGTTTAATTGGTTTAAAAACTTCCTGGGCTATAAGGAGTCTGTACATCTGGAAACCTTTCCAAAGGAACGGGCCACAGAGGGCATTGCCATGGAGATAGATTATGCCTCTTGTAAACGGTTGGGCTCCAGCTATCGAGCCCTACCAAAGAGTTACCAGCAGCCCAAGTGTACGGGACGGACTCCTCTCTGTAAAGAGGTAAGGCCTTCCAGGGAAGGTATCAGCCCTGAGTCCTCAGCTTCCTCCAGAAGGGAGTAGTACCTGGAATGGAGAATGCATACGAACGAGGAAATCTAAATCCTTTTCTGTCTTTTTTCAAAAGAAAGTGTTTTGTACTTATATTGAGAACCTTTTTCTAACTATCTTTTTAAACTTGCTACAGGTGAAACTTGTAATGTTAACTGTTTCTTCCCTCCCCTAAAGTTTTCTTTTTTAATTGAGAAAGCTTAATCACCAGAAAACTTTGTTACACTTTTGTTTCAATTTATTTTCTTTTACCCAAAGGTTTTAAATGATACTTGGGTTTCCTTCCCCTCCTGGTCTGAGGACTCCACCTTTGTTAGTTCCAAGAAAACTCAGTATGAAGAACATATCTATCGTTGTGAAGATGAACGTTTTGAGGTACAAGCTCCTTTATCATTTGAAGTTTGGGGAAATGAGAGATTCGGAAAGACAGGATATCTTAAATACCAACCTAAGAGGACTGGCTTTTAAGACCAAAGAGCAAGAGGCTCATATTCTGTGGTAAATGCTTGTTGTATTTACCATGTTTTATGACTTTGTCAGATATGTTAGTAATATTTTCATGACAAATGTGACTTATCTAGGCCACTTTAGCCCTTTTAACTGAAATTAAAATAATAAATAATGGGATTTTTACTCCATTTGCTGAATAATACTCCTTTGAATTTTTAATGGCATTTTAAAGGTTATTGTGTGCTACATAGTATTTAAAATCAGTATCTTAAGACCTAGTGGGCTTTCTTGCAGCTATTTTAAATTACTTATCTTAAAGTATATATTATTTTTAGCAGGTATCTTACTAACATGGTTAGCAAACCAGTGCTCCTGTGAGAACTGGAACTCTTCTGTCATATTTCTGGTGTTGATTTGTCTCCTTTTGAAAGAAAGTTGAGTTAGGGACTTCATTTTAAAGTAGTTGGGAAGGGAAGAGCTGGAGTGAAGAAATGGGCTGGTTGACAGCCCTGGTACCAGGAGTGGGAAGTACTGGAAACAGACTCAGTTCCCAGTGTCTGGTTTGCTGATATCAACAAAAAGGGAATGTTAAATGTGTCTAGAGAAGGAAAATTACATGCCTCCTTTTTAACGTATTTATTATATAAAACCGACTGTCCCTGCTCTTCCTATGGGTGGGAGATGTTTTGCCCCTTTTTTAACCCATACTGATTTAGCTCTCTGCCAATTATCCCCCTTCACACTTGCTTCCCCTGTTTCTGGCATGTTTGAATGAAGAGCCACATGTTGGTTGGTCTGCTGGGCCCCAGTGTTTATGAGGAGCTTCAACCATTTGCAGAAAACTCAGCCATGACAGATGTTAATTTCTATGGAAAGTTTTATCAAGCTGAAGAAAGCATTTCTTTTTTTTTAACCTATGTTTAGTCAGTTTCAGTGATGTGTTAGCAGAGATTGACGCCTGTTTTTGACAGGATATTCTTATTCTCAGCTAGTATGCCAGCAGATGAGAGGCATCAGCCTCATTTCCTGCTTGTTATTGCAGTAGTGAGGATGAAAGAAATGTGTGTATGTATGCACATGTACGTGCTGAGGATTGGATGGGTTAGACTAATTTGAATCCTTTGTACATCAGGATTGGTTAATATTCCTGCAATACAGTCAACCCCTAAATCCCATTGACTTGAAAAAGACAGATTTATTTCCTCGTCATACTGCATGCGCATTGATGTTCAGCCGAAGATTCCACTCACCAGAATTGCTTGGGGACCTGGGCTGGCAGAGTGCCACCATCATGAACAGTGCCAGTGACTATAGGGGAAGAGCTCAGATGGATCTTGCACCCTTAAATGTTCTAGCCTAGAAGTAATGGATGTTACTTTGACTCACCTGTTAACAGCTCATAGGCCAGAACTAGTTACATGGCCCTAGCTAATCTCAAGGCAGCCAGGAAGTCCAAGCCATCATTTATCATCAGTGGGGAAAATGGGCATTAAAATTTTTGACAAAACGACTACAGTAGTCCTCAAACTAGAAAATTAGGAAACACTTATACAGAGTCATAGACCCTTGAGACTGCTCATTTCCTTTATTTTCTGTTTCTCATCTAGAAAATTTTGTGTTAAGCTTTGGAAAAAAGTTAACTCAAGGTTGCTAGTCATGTCTTTAACCAGGTTAGGGAATATTCAGTGAGAATTTAAATGGTTACGCACAGATACAACATTGAAGCCCTCAAGGAATGCTCTTATTATTAGTAGATGTGGAACAAGACATTAAACATTTAAACATTTTAAGTTACTCTGAAAAACTTATGAGATTGATTTACTATCTTGAATGGTCTTTTTGGGATTTGGTGGTAGTGATTGTTATTGTTTGTAACAGATCTGAGTAATTCACAAAAGTTCAGGGAAAACTGCCAGTAAGGTTGCCTCCTCTTAGGTCCCTCTGGCGTGGGGGCCAGTAGTCCTTAATAAACCACATTGGGGGTGCTAGAAGTATTAACTACTACTCTGTTGTTGTTCTGTTGCTAAGACGACTCTTGCGACCCCGTGGACTGCAGCACATCAGACTTCCCTGTCCTTCACTTACCTCCCTGAATTTGCTCAAATTCTTGTCCATTGAGTCGGTGATACCATCCAACCATCTCATTCTCTGTTGCCCCCTTTCTCCTCCTGCTCTCAATGTTTCCCAGCATCAGAGTCTTTTCCAGTGAGTCAGCTCTTTGCATCAGGTGGCCAAAGTTTTAGAGCTTCAGTTTCATCATCAGTCCTTTCAATGAATATTCAGGGTTTGGATGTTTGCTGTGTATCTGGTATTGTGCTGAATCCTTTATGTGGGTTGTATTGATAAATCCAGAACACAACCTTGTGAGAATAGGTGGTGATATTCCTGTTTTACTGATAAACTAACAGTTTTATTTGGCCATGGTATGGTAGAGTCCAGATTCAAATCCAGGAAGTTTGACTTCTACCTTCTACTCCGGACAGCTATTCTGTTCTGGTTTGGGTCCTGAGCATCCTTTGTCTTTTTTTTTTCTTTTTAGCTTGATGTAGTTTTAGAGACCAATCTGGCAACTATCCGGGTTCTGGAAGCAATACAGAAGAAACTTTCCCGCTTGTCTGCTGAAGAACAAGCCAAATTTCGCTTGGACAACACCCTCGGGGGCACATCGGAAGTCATCCACCGAAAAGCACTCCAAAGGATATATGCTGACAAAGCAGCTGACATCATTGATGGTCTGAGGAAGAACCCTTCCATTGCCGTCCCAATTGTCCTTAAAAGGTACCTGAGTGCACCTGCCCTTCATGTTTTAGTGTGCTTCTCAACAGATTTAGTGTCCCACTAAATAAGGTTCTCCTTTTCGGCCCAGTTATTCCATGAGACATCCATTTCTCCCCAACCTCGGCTGTAGGAAGTCAGGTGAATAGTGTGGGATAGTGGAGCTTCTTGATGGGGTTCTGTGTCACCAACAGCAGAGAACAAACCTTTCCAGTCCATACTGGAATGCTCTGTATGTTTAGGGGGATATTTTAAAATAGAGAACAAAGAAGAAAACAGCCACCCACGTTCTTGCCACTCAGTACTAACTGATGTTCACATCTTTTGTTTTTTAATAAGAAAAATCACTCTGTCTCTATAAAATTGATATGTTACTTAAAAAGCCTTAGCGTCCCATAAAAATCCAAGAATGTCTGCTTTCTCCTAACCAACCCTCGAACCGAGGTATAGCGGGGCCGTTGAACCCAGCTGAATTAGGCTGTAGGTATCCAGGAGGAGGCCAGGGCTGAGCGCCAGGCTCCGCGGAGTCCGTGGCGCTCTGTGCTCTCATACCTCTGGTCCTCCCTTTGTATCACCTGGTGAAAACTTCCACTGCACAGTTCACACGCGCCCAGATTTTCCTGTTCCTCCCCAGTCTTCCTCTCAAGAGCTGGCAGAAGGTGTTTGTTTTCCTGCCAGTAGCATTTAACTGTTGTCTTCGAGGTGGAGGATATCCTTCATTTCTAGTGCTGGTTGTGATTTTATTCTCCTCTCTTCCAGAGGATCAGAGTCAGTTGTTTTCATTGGAACTTCCAATCTCTGTCCAGAGGAGCATTGTTGTACAGGTTCTCTGCTCTTGGACATTTGCATTTACATTAGGATAATAAACATTCTCAGAAGTCCTATAGTAAAGAAACTTGTTTCACTTTGTTTTAGCTGGCCAAGGAAGAGAATCTACTTTTCTAGGGTATTCTGTGGAATGTTGTTTGAGAAATAACTGTTCTTAACAAGATTTCTGACTTTGGAGTAAATTACTTCCCCATAGTAAGCCCTGAATGAGTAGTTTTCTCATGTATCAGAGTTTGACTAGTTTGAATAAATTTACCCCAAAGTTGCCAACAGATTTGACAGATCTGCTGTACCTTTTGACCTTTGAAATAAAGTAAACCTGACATATTTCTTACTTCTAAATCCTTGTGAGATGAGGTGCTGTTATCCCCTTTTTACGGATAAGGAAGCAGTCTTACATGGCTATTGTGGCAGAGTCGGGATTCCAGTCTGCGATTCTAATATGACTCCTTGCCTTAAGATTCCCTCCTCTGGACTCCCGTGTCTTTCTTTTTCCACCCTCTACCCTGCTAGGTTGAAGATGAAAGAGGAAGAATGGCGAGAAGCTCAGAGAGGCTTTAACAAGGTGTGGAGAGAGCAAAATGAGAAATACTACTTGAAATCTCTGGACCACCAAGGCATCAACTTTAAACAAAATGACACCAAGGTCCTGAGGTCCAAGAGCTTACTCAACGAGATTGAGAGTATCTATGATGAGGTGAGTTGGGAGTCTCAACATTTGTGAGAAGTCTCCAGTATATGCTCAGCATCGCTTTGACTCCTGCAAATTATCTTTGTTATATGAGCATGAGACCCTCCAAGGTTTGTTGATTGTTATTTCGTAGGATAGACTTCTATTCCCAGTTCTTCTACCATTTTAAATCTAAGTCTCACTAAGCTGTTTTACTGGTTTTCCAGTTTTCCATCCTGGTTATAGTTCATGCCCAGTGCCACCCTCTTCTACTTCTCTCCATATTTCCTTCCAGCAGTACCTTATATTCCTTCTTGTAGCCTATCTCAACTTTCCACAACTTAAAATACTATCTTCAATCCCCACACTCTTTCTTTCTTTGTTTTTGACTATGCTGTATGGCTTGTGGGATTTAAGTTCCCCCACCAGGGACTGAACCCAGGCCTTTGGCACCGAGAGCATGGAGTCTTAACCACTGGACTGCCAGAGAATTGCCCCCAGACTGTTTCTAATCCTTGTTTATTCGGCATCCTTCAGGATTAAGTAGAGTACTGGGAGCTAGGATACAGAGATGAATAAGAAATTAATCTTTCTTTCTTTGAGCTCACAGTCTTAGGGGATGGATAGAAACAAATAGAGTATGATTGAGAATTTCTAGAAGTGGTATGATCTTGAATTTTAAACTTTATTATGAAAATATCAAGCATACATAAAAAGGGAGCGAACAGTAAAATGAACTGACATAAATTTAATTTCCTCTCTGTCTTACCAGTTTTATTTGCCACCTTCCTCACTCCCAGAAGTATTTTATTTATTTATTTTTTCCCAGAAGTATGTTAAAGGAAATTTAAACCTCATATCATGTCCTCCATAAGTACTAATGTAAAATTTTAGAAGATGGTCCCCTTTCTTTCCTATTGTCTTTTAAAAGTCTCAGTGTCTGGGAGGTGCCAGTCATGGTACCTCCAGTCATTTTGGTATCAAACCACATCTTGCACATTATCTTCTTGTTTCTGGAAGTTTTTGATTGGAAAATAGTGGCCATTATGGTTAATAGAATGTACTACTGGTGTAATCTCAAAGGTCTGTTTGTTGCTTTTGTAGCTATCACATAATACTTTGTCTCTCTCTCTCTCCTGGTAGAGGCAAGAGCAGGCTACAGAAGAAAATGCTGGTGTACCTGTTGGCCCACACCTTTCACTTGCCTATGAAGACAAACAGATTCTGGAAGATGCTGCTGCTCTGATTATCCACCACGTGAAGAGGCAGACAGGCATTCAGAAGGAAGATAAATATAAAATCAAGCAAATCATGCATCATTTTATTCCAGATCTGCTCTTTGCTCAGAGAGGTGATCTCTCAGATGTGGAGGAAGAGGAAGAAGAAGAGATGGATGTAGATGAAGCCACAGGGGCGGCTAAGAAGCACAATGGTGTTGGGGGCAGTCCCCCTAAGTCCAAGCTACTGTTTAGTAACACAGCAGCTCAGAAGTTAAGAGGGATGGATGAAGTGTACAACCTCTTCTATGTTAATAATAACTGGTATATCTTTATGCGGCTGCACCAGATACTCTGCTTGAGGCTGCTGCGGATCTGTTCCCAAGCTGAACGGCAAATTGAAGAAGAAAACCGAGAAAGAGAGTGGGAACGGGAAGTGCTGGGCATCAAGCGAGACAAGAGTGACAGCCCTGCCATCCAGCTGCGTCTCAAAGAACCTAGTGAGTGCTAGGGTTGTGGTCTGCAGAAGGTGTGAGAGCTCGGGGATGCAGGACCTAGTTAGACTCAGGATTGCTTTCTTTTATGTTAATGCATAGAGCACAGGCAGTCCTTAGAGGCTGGCTGGGTTCAAATCCTAGCACTGCAATTTATTGGTTGTGTGACCTTACTTAAACTCTCTGAACCTGTTTATCTGTAAACTGGAGGTGCTACTTGTTATCTTGTGGGACTGCTGGGAGAATTGGGGGAAATACGCAAAGCACCCTGTGCCTTGCTTAGATCATAGATCCTTAGTAGCTGGTACTGTGGACACCAAGGAAGTGGGTGTCAGTTACCGTCGTCAGTTTCCCAAATGGAAGGTCTCTCTTTGAAAGGACAGAGAATGACTGAAGCATCATAGTTGGTTCCACTCCATGACAGAACAACTGTTCGTGCCTTAGACAATTGCAAAAAAGGAGATGGGGACTCAGGAGATGGTTTGAGACAGCAGAACAGGAATGAAGATAGAAAACTCAGAAAAAGGAAAATAAGTGAAGGTTAAGGAAGCCTCCACATGCTGTATGTGATTCTGTGCTGCTTGCTTCTACATCTCCCTTCAGGTTGTAAGTTAGGTACTTAAACTGTTAGCCAAAGCTCTTCTGTGAAACCTTCTTGTGCGTTCTTTAGGAAATAACCCCTTTTTGGAGTGAATTATCTCTTTTTTTAAAAACTGTTAATAATGTAAGAAGCCCATGTGAAGTCCTGGCCATCTATCTATTGGAGAGCTAATGACCTTGGAAATTAATTCTAAAAGCCTTTATCTGGATTAATCGTAGCTTGAGAGAGACATATTTTAGACTTCAGTGTGGTGATTCCCTCTGCTTGCGTAGAAACGAGAAAGATGACCTGATCTTGGCTTGACCATTGACTTAACCTGATTTTTGAGGCTAACAGTTCATTCTTCAGTAATAATGCCAAGCCTCCACTGATCATGGCTCACATGGTTTGCACTGGTAGAACGCATAGCTTTATACTGATGTGAGAGCATTTTTCACAGTAATAGCACAGCCCATGCCTCTGCTGTGGATCTGAACAAGGTAATGTTCTGTCAGGAAACTCAAGCCAGTTGCTTCTCTTGAATAGTAGTTGTCCTGTTTTGCCTGTCTTGAATGAATCTGTCACACTTCAAATAAATGGAAGTGGACTCAACTTTCGCTCTCAGAGCGTTCCCCCCCACCCCTGTACAAACTTTACAAAGAGGTAGCTAAATGTCAAAGACAAAGAGTTCTCTTTGTAATTTTCTCTCATTGTAGTGAACTTTTTGTTGAAATACAACACACATACAGAATTGTGTAACTCAGTGATTTTTACAAAGCAAATACACCTGTGTGACCAGCACCCAGATCAGGAAACAACATAACCAGTAGCCCCCTTGCACTGCTGTCTGAATTGCCAGCACTGGAGATGAGATTTGCCAGTTTTTCAGCTTCATGTAAATAGGTCTTATTTTAGTAAGCTAAAGGTGGAGTCCTTTCACCTTTCCTTGTGCACTCTGTTAGTTGCCAGATGTCTCTGTAACAACTGATAGGGTTTCTCTCTGGTGGTTGAGGTGATTCATACGCAGCAAGTATAGGTCATTAGAAGTAATTTGTGAAGTACAATGTTGGGAATCCACTTTTAAACAAAAGGACTTTGACAAATGCAGATACTTCATTATTCATAAAGGATTTAATCTGCCCTCCTAGTTTCCTATTCCTGAGAGGTTTCTCAGTGCTAGTGTTTGGTTCTGTCTGCCTTTTCTCTTCAGCCCTTTATGCTTCGTTGAAATAGCTGTTTGAGCAAGCGACCCATGTGGGGGATACTCCCTTTGCAGGCTCCTCTCCTAGCAGGGAGCTGACAGCTTTTTGAAGAAACTTCTTCCCTGGGATATTTTGCTCTCCTGTCACGCATTGCCAGGCCATACTGTAAATAAGTGTTTTGGTCAGTCAGAGGGTTAGAAGCTGCTGTTGAAATTGCAGCGTCACTCTCCTTTGATAGACAGTGCTGGGGTTGTGGCCACCTGTCAGATCTCATCTGTCTGCAGCAGACTGAATACTGAGGGTTTGTTCTGTCCAGTGCTTTTCAGGCCAGCTGTGGGATTTGCCCTGCCCTCTCTTCCATCTTTTAGCAGGGTAAGGCCTACCTCTCCCCTCTTTCCCACAGTGGACGTTGATGTAGAAGATTATTACCCAGCTTTCCTGGACATGGTGCGGAGCCTGCTGGATGGCAACATAGACTCGTCCCAGTATGAAGATTCGCTGAGAGAGATGTTCACCATTCATGCCTACATTGCCTTTACCATGGACAAACTCATCCAGAGCATTGTCAGACAGGTGAGGGTGTGGTGCGGGCAAGGGTTGGGGAGGGAGACAGTCCTCATCTGCAGGTGGGTCGGGAAAGAGACGGGGCGAATTTTCTTTGGGGAACGGGCAGGCAGTTTTCTCATGTGATAATGTTAACAAACACGTGGTTCTGTAGAGGGGAGGGAGAGGTTAATGTGATGTCGCGTTTCTCCTGTTAACGGAGTGGGAGGGCTTCAGCCGTGTGATCGACTGCTTTGCGCAGTGTGCCCTGGGAGGAGGAGCCTACCTCAGCCGTGAGGTTTTGCCCCCAGCTCCCGTCCTGCCTTCCCAGCTCCTGTGTCACGTACCCGGTGTGAGCTGTTTCCTCTTCTCTGAAAAGTGGAAGTGTTAGTCACTCAGTCCTGTCTGACTCTGTGACCCCATGGACTGTGGCCTGCCAGGCTCCTCTGTCCCTGGAATTCTCCAGGCAAGAATACTGGAGTGGGTTGCCATTTCCTTCTCCAGGGGATCTTCCTGACCCAGGGATCAAAACCTGGTCTCCTGCATTGCAGGTTGATTTTCTTTTTACTGTCTGAATAGGTGTTGGTAATTCTATGGACTTTCCTCATTTAACATTTGAAGTTCTTTTTACAGGAGAGGTTTTGTATAACATCTTTTATAATACTCTGTCTGCCTCACTATCTGAGACTCCCCTCTGAGTTAGGTTTGTAGTTGGTTTTGTGGTTTATTCTTGGGGTACCCTGGGAGTTTGTAGATAGTTGTTCTTTACAACAATGATAATTTTATAGCAAATAACATGTAATAGGTTCCCATTCCTTTGCCTTTTGTTCTGAGTTCTCAAAGGTATCAGTCTGTTGTTAGTGCTCTTTTTTCTTTAATTAGTGAATTTATTTTTGGTTGCAATGGGTCTTTGTTGCTGCACATGAGCTTTCTTTCGTTATGGCAAGCGGGGGGCTGCTATTCATTGCGGTGATCAGGCTTCTCATTGCAGTGGCTTCTCTTGTTGCAGAGCACGCACTCTAGGGCACACGGGCTTAGTTGCTCTGAGGCACATGGAATCTTCCCGGACCAGGGATTGAACCTGTGTCCCCTGTGTTGGCAGGCAGATTCCTATTCACTGCCCCACCAGGGAAGTCCCACTTTTTTCTTTTAAAGTGGAAAGTGCGTTCCTTAGGTAAAATCACAAAGGAATCCTTTGTGAGGTACTCTTGCTTTTGTCTTGAGTTTAGAAGGATGTGTGGCTTTGCACCCCTCTCGGAGGATCTACTCAAAGTCAAGGAATAACTGAATCTTGGCATCTTCACAAAAGTTGTCAGGGAGGGAGCTTCAAGTTGAAGCAGTTATTAGGCCTTCCCTTAAGGGGTCTTTATGTTGACAGACAGAAATCTTTACATGGATGTAATCAGCTATGGTCATAATTTTTGAGAGACTAATGCCTATTAATGTTCCCTAAATTTATATAAAAGAGTCCACTTACCATAACATGTGCTTATATTTCTGTTTACAAGTTTGCTGTTGCTGTAGCTAGAAGTAAAGTCTTTCATACTATCAGCTCAACTTTAAAAATCCAATACTACCAGCTTTTTTTTTTTTGTAAGCCCACAGTTGGTTTTTTAAACAATAGATTAGTGATTAGTCCATTTACTAGAAGCAAATGGTGATGATTTTGAGTCAGTAATAAGTAAGGTCCAGTCTTTTTTTTATGGAGACAGATTGTATCTGGAAATCCAAATCTAGTGTTTTAAAAACATACATTTAAGCTTCTTAGCTTAACTCCTGAATTGGAGGCATAACATTTCTCCTTAAATCCTTTGCTGTTCTCCCAGAGTTCATTATTGACTGGAGGTGGAATATACATTGCAGGGTCAAACCATATATTTAGCTTACTTTTCCAGACTAGTTTAATACAGGTTTGCTCAAGAATACAGTAGGCAGTCTCACATATGTCTAGTGTGGGGCTGAAAGTATGGTAGGGACTAGCCTGGGAAGGTTAACTCTGGCATGCCTCTTTTCTGGACATCTCCCCCATCCTCATGCTTCTCTCTGCAGATGAACATCCGGCCCCCTGAGTGTTTTCAGCGCTGGAAAGCTATTACCAACCTTTCCAATCCAGGTGCTCCTCTGTAAAATGTCTGTCTACCAGACACACTCATTGTGTCATTTCAGTTTAGTAGGAGAGAGAATCTGACAAGCCTAGCATTGGGATGGGAGTTGCCTAGTTGTGCCTAGATTTATAATGCTACCCTTTCCAAAGACTGGGTGTGGCCAGAAATCCAAGAAGAGGGTGTGGAAGGAGTCGAGGGTGTGGAAGGAGTCGGTGACCTTTACCAGGAAAGTATAAAGATGTATCTACATAGTAGAGACCATGCTTTGTATACTTTTTTTTACACTGTTTTTTTCTCTTAAACACTGTGTTTTAAGCTTTCCCCTGTATTTTCAACTTATAAGCATTGTTTTAACAGTCACATTAAAAGCTGTGTATGGCCTAATTGTAATTTAACCATTTCCAGTTGCTGGCCTTTCTACCACCATCAGGTCACTCACCGTCTGACCTTGCATTTTGTCCATTTATCTACAAATACACATACTTGTCATTTAAGACTTTTTCAAATGTTAAAAATAAGTAGTTGTCATAGTTACTAGTGCTTCAAAAAGAGTGTATCTTCCTAAAAATAGAATGGCTTAGCAGTTATGAGAATTTTAAAGTAAAATAGATAAATTGTTATTGCAATTAACGTTTTGCTTTCTTCTTATCTGTTTTTCACATCCTGTGGCATTTTAAGGGGTAAAATTTCATTTGAAGGAATTTTTATTTTATGATAGATGATACCGTCATGACCTATAAGAATGGAATCTCTGAAGGGTTCAACTTGCTAGTCATCAGAGAGTTTAATAAGAGTTTAATAAGTTATCATTAGTCCATCATGACTGACATGTATTGGAAATGAGTTAATTTGCATAAAATTTACATACTATGCTTTTATTATCAGATGTGGAAAAATAAGGAGTGTGTTAGAAAGAATATTGGCCTGGGGTCCAGAAACTTGAATATTCGTTCTGACTCAGCTCCTTCAGCTGAGTGCCAGTGACAGATTAATTCAGCAACAGCTTCTTCAGTGCCTATTGAATTTCACTTTGTACCAGGGCTTTGAATATAGGAATGGATCTTGTTTTCATGGTTCTCCAATTTCCTTCTCCTCACCTTAGCACACAGGTGTAAATTTGTCTAAAATGTAAATTTTTCTTATATATAACAGGGCACCCCTATCCAGACTGCTTCCCAAGGTAGTGGTGTGGATCAAATGAGAATATGTGTGAAAGCAAATTATAAATGGTAAAGAAGTGCCATAAAGGTTAGCAAGCCATAGAAATTTTCTTTCGTGTAAAAAATTTTTTTAAGTACCTTAGAACTTTAAATGGCTTCCCTGGTGGCTCAGTTGGTAAAGAATCTGTCTGCAATGCGGCAGACCCAGGTTCAGTCCCTGGGTGGGGAAGATCCCCTGGAGAAGGAAATGACAACCCACTCCAGTATTCTTGCCTGGAGAACTCCATGGACAGAGGAGCCTGGTGGGCTCCAGTCCATGCGGTCACAAAGAGTCAGACAGGACCAAGTGACCAGTGCTAGAACTCTAAATAAGTAGCACATTAACCTGAGTTACCTATGGTTTTGCTCTTAAATATATATGAACATTTTACTTGTGGACCAGTGATACGGCTGAAGATTTTGTCTCGGTTATTCTCTAAGATAATAAGATAGTGATTTTATATGATTAATTTTCTAAAGTTTTCAACCAAAAAAACCCTTTTTTTAACTGAATGATTGGAACCACCAAAGGAAGGCTGAGTGTATGATGGGTAAAACTGTATTTTTGGTTCCTGATGACTTGCCTTTGCTTGATTCCAGCTGCAGCATATCGTGAGTGATGAGATCTGTGTACAAGTGACTGACCTGTACCTGGCAGAAAACAATAATGGGGCCACAGGAGGCCAGCTGAACACACAGACTTCAAGGAGCCTACTGGAGTCAACATATCAGCGGAAAGCTGAGCAGCTCATGTCAGATGAAAATTGCTTTAAGGTGAGAGTTACTCATTTAGTCAGAGAACTTGCTGATGACAGTGTAAACTGTTGGGACTCTACCCCGCAGAAGTCAGAGCTGTACCAGGGTGCTTCGACCCAGTGTCTCCACTCCTGAATGCCTTGGAGTTCCTTTGAACTCATAAAAAACATGGAAAAGTAAAGTCTCGTAGGCGGTCTGTTTCTTGCCTTTAAAAAAAAAAGTCAGTTCTTATATATGATTTTCATTTTCTCTGAACTTTTTTTTTTTGGTATTAAATGCTTTGTGAATATTATTTAAAAATGTAATCCATAGTCATTGTAGAAAAGATAGGAAATGTAGAGAAAAGAAAAACTAGTTGTCTACAGTTGTCCCTAGAAATAATCGTTGATGGCATTTCTAAACTTTTCTGTGTTTGTATGTATTTTGAAAGATTATACTGGGCAAAGCATTCTGTGTAACTTATTTTGCTCAATTAGCAACACCTCTGGGTCTTGAGCATCTTTTTATGACTGTTCAGTATTTTATAGAAAATTATGCCCGTCTGTTTGGACATTTAGGTTGCTTCCAGTTTTCCACCATTATAATAGCTAATTAGAAAAGCAAATAGCTGGAAACTGGGAACAATCCAGATGTCCAACCCTTAATGGGAATGGTTAATGGCAGCCTATTGTGTGACTGCTAGATGGCATATTTTGCAGCTCTTTAAAAGTTAATTATATGTTAATAAAAATAATGAAGCAAATAAAAGGACACAAAATGATGTGTATTACTATTGCAGCTGTGTAATATGTATAGTTGAACAAAGCCTGTATGTATTAATGTAAGGACAGGTTTAGGTGGCCCAGAGTATGGTTTGTAGTTGGCCAAGCAGAGAGAGCTAAGCCAAACAAAAGTTTAACCTCAGTGAGCATGTCCCATGTACTTTAATGATCTGACCCTCGAGCTGTTTGCTTAGCTGTGTGTGCTTCTACTTTCAGCCTACTGTAGGCTTAATTTAGAATCAAAGACCTGGAAACGCGTTTTGTAGCTCAGTCACAGTTTGTGATGCCCTACTACCTGAGGACTTTCCCACTACAGAGGAGAGTTCCTAAGCTTTTCATAGTTTTAAATCTGTACATGTTTATCTTGAGTTTAATGTGTGCTTATTTCATGGTGACAGAATTACCACCCCCACCTACAGTGAGTTAATAGATTGTGTGGTGAGGGCCTATGAAGGAATGGGTAGACTCACCCTGTAGATAACACATTTGTCAGAATAGCAGAGGGGCAGAAGGTTTGGTAACCAGGAATAGTGGGTCATCACAGTGACCTTTAAAATGTTTTACATAGAGAATGAAAGTCCATAGTATAAGCATTAAGCTAAGCATAAGCAGCCCTTCAAATCCCCTACCCAGTCCCACCTCCAGCTTCCTCTCCCTTCATTTTTTTCTAGGCATATTCTCTAGTGCTTTTTAAAAATTAGGCATGTTTAACTCTCTGTATAACCACTCAAACCCTTTTCTATGCACTTAAATATACATATGTGTTTATGCAGAAATAAATTTTTGAATTAAACTATGTACTTTACATCTTGCTTTTTTCCACTTAATATGTCTTAGAATTTGCTCTATTTTGGTTTATGTAGACATAGCTCATGTTTTTTAGCTGCTGTGTCATACTTAATACTATGAATGTACCATAGTTTTTTGTGGTTTGTATTTTTAGGGTATTAGCTCGCTTACCACAGCTCATACTTGAGCCCCCAACAGTGAAAGCACAGAGTCCTAACTACTGGACCACCAGGGACTTTCCTGTGCCATAGTGTTTTTTTTTTAATACCATTCCTCTATGGGTGAACGTTTTAAGCTATTTCCGTTTTTACTATCTCAAATAGTGCTTCATTGAACAGCATTTACAATTTATATTCTTGTGTGCATGTGGTAGTGTTAAGGGTAGAGACATAGAAATGAAATTACTGGGTTGAAAGGGTCGGGTATGCATATTTTACAGCTTCCCAAGTGGTGCAGTGGTAAGTGAAGTGAAAATCCCTCAGTTGCGTCCGACTCTTTGGACTATACAGTTTATAGAATTCTCTAGGCCAGAATACTAGGCTACCGGAGTGGGTAGCCTGTCCCTTCTCCAGGGGATCTTCCCAACTCGGAAATTGAACCAGGGTCTCATGCATTCCAGGCAGATTCTTTCCCAACTGAGCTCTCAGGGAAGCCTGGTGCAGTGGTGAAGAATCCACCCAACAGTGCAGAAGCTGCAGGAGACAGGTTTAGTTCCTGGGTTGGGAAGATTCCCCAGAGGAAGAAATGGCAACCGACTCCAGTATTCTTTCCTGAAAAATTCCATGGGCAGAGGAGCCTGGTGAGCTTCACTCTACTGGGTCGCAAAGAGTCAGACACAGCTGAGCATGCACGCCCATGCATGTTTTAAAATTTAAACTTTCTCATTTCTCTCCCAAAGTGACAAGGTATACCAGTATGCACTTTGATAAGAGCATTTATTTCTCCATAACACTTGTATTATCAAGTTCATTTTTGACAATTAGATGATTAGAAAAATACTTTAATTCATATTTCCCTGTTTCCTACTGTCACCCATTTTTCCTCTTCTGTGTATTGCGTACTCACATTCGCATCCTTCACCGTTTCTGGGGGAGCAGGATTGTAGTTCTTTTTATGTACTTTTTCAGATATTTTTGTTATGATTTATTTGTTTGATTTTCTTTGTTATGTTTTCTCTGAAATTGGTTGGTCTTCCCCTTTGTCATGTTTCTCAGGGTCCAGCTAAGTGTCACTTCAGTGAAGTGGAATCTTTCTCAATTCACTGAGAGGGGAATAGCATATTGCTCATGTTTCTAGAATAGTACCTTTGTAGTTATTTTGTTGTAATGTAAATATAGCTGTTTGTATGTATTCCTTTTCCTTTACTGAATTAAGCTCCTCCAGGCAAGAAACTGGGGCTTCCCAGGGGCTCAGCTGGTAAAGCACCAACTTGCCAATGCAGGGGATGTAAGAGACGCACATTCGATCCCTTGTTTGGAAAAATCCCCTGGAGGAGCGCATGGCAACCCACTCCAATATTCTTTCCTGGAGGATTCCACAGACAGAGGAGCCTGGTGGGCTGCAGTCCATGGAGTCACAAGAGTCAGCACAATTGACTGCACATGCGTGTGCGCACACACACACACACACACACGCAAGAAACCATGCTCTCTTCTGAGTGTACCCCTGACAGATAAATAACAAACATTCAGTGACTTGACTTTGTGTTAGTTGAATGAAGCAAAAGAGATATGTAGAAAAAGGAGAGGAGGGTTGTGTCCAAATGGTAGAGGATCTTCATAGCCATAGTAAGGAAGACGTGTGAATTTTGTTGTGGTTGGTGAGCAGTGAGGCATTTTTAAGGACTAAATAGCCCACTGGATTTGAGCTTTCAGGAAGATCAGTTTAGTAGCACTGAGTAAGGAGAAGGGGAGAAATCGAGGCATATTTACAACTGGAGGCAGTTACCAAATTGGGGTGATGGATGTGGGCAGTCTAATAATAAAGCTAGTCAAGCCTTGGAGTGGTTGCAGAGGTCAGAGAGTTGGGGTGAACACATGGTAAAGGACCTAGCAAGATACGTGTCAGACAGGTGAGGAGCCAGTTGGGGTGAAATCGAGTTCAGTTCTAGGCATGTAGAGGACACTCTTCTCAGTATTACTTTGAAGGGTTGCTTCCTTACAGCCATAGGACAGATCTTGACACTAGGTCATTCATCCTAAATCCAGGAGGTTTTAGCAAACTCCTCGGAACAGGTGTTTTCAAATCTTATTTTGAAAGTAAACTATGTTTATGTTTATATGTGTGTATGTTATATTATTGTCATTTTAAAAAATTTCTTAGCTAATAGGAGTTTTTAAAGGCTGCTCTAGAAGAACTGTGAACCAAAACTGGTTTCTGGTTCTGTTTGCTTATTGACTAGCTGTGTGGCCTTGAGAAATTTAGGTTTTTCCCTATGTAAAATGAAGAATGTTGAAATAAATGATTCTCAAGCTTTCTTTAATCTCTGATCTTTACCATGTAATTCTGATAGTGATCTTTTTTATGTTTCTAATTTTTTTTCATTTATTTTTATTAGTTGGGAGGCTAATTTCTTTACAATTTTATTTTTTTTTAATTATGAAAGTATGATAACACATTTACAGGAAGCTTGGAAAATACAGAACAAGGTTACATATAGTTCCACTATATATTATAATTATGTTTTAAGTAGATAAGTTCAATGTCAAACTCTCAAAAATTAATAGAACGAGTATACAGAGAAGTAGAAGGATATAGTAAACCTGAAAAGCACTGTCAACCAATTCAACATACTTAAAATTTATACAGTTTTCACATAGTAGGATACAAATTCTATTCAAGTTCCCACAGACTGTAATCTTGGAGACACTGAAGTATATCCAGGGACATAAAACAAGGTGCAAAGCTTTGATGGTCTAAAGGTAGTGAAAGCATAGAGTCTGTTGTCTTATCACTGTGGGGTTAGGTAAGAGGTCAATCTGATAGTGATTTATCTGCAGCAGTTCCTCAGGATAAGGGCATTGAGAGTCCTGGGACTCCCAGCGGGGGGAGCTCTGTGTGCCATCACCACTTGATACTTCTTTTGTGCAAAACATGACTTGGTTTTGCCCCTATCAGTGTATTACTTTTAAATATGAATTAAAAAAAAAAAATCACACAAGTAATATTAACAAAACTCAGAATTTCAAATATCATTGGTTTCATTGCAACAGATCACTTCTTAATGTTGATGATTTGTGTTCCTTACCCCATGGTATGTGTAATTTCTTGGGTAGTCTTTATTGTGGTGAAAATGTGACTGCTGCTCTCTGATGTTTTCCACTTCAGTTTGGTATGGGAAGTTTCTTTAAAAAAAAAAAAAAAAGCACTGTAGACTTGTTTGCATCTTTGCATTAAGTCCCATAAGTGAGATTATCAAGTGAAATGGCATTGACATTTTATGGTTCTGACTTTTGAGCACTCTTTCTGATATTGATTACTGTTTTAGCTAATTCAAGAAGTATGAAACATGAAATGTCAGCAAGAAGCTCTTACATTTCACTTTGCTGGTAGCAAGATGAACAACCTTTGCCTTTTAATCACCTCTTAAGCTTTTGAGTATCTTTCTCATCTCTTCAACTGGAGCAAAATTTTTTTTACAGCTCTGTTGCCTCCCCCCACCTCTCAACCCTTGGGAATCTAATTACAGCTTTGGAGATGGTCTTTGGTTTACACTCAGGTTTCTTATTTGCAGCTTATGTTCATTCAGAGCCAAGGCCAGGTTCAGCTGACCATTGAGCTTCTGGACACAGAAGAGGAGAACTCGGATGACCCTGTAGAAGCAGAGGTATGGATGAACATACTGCAGAAACTGTGCTGAGAGTGTGTTGTGCTGAGAGTCTGCGTAGGGACTGTCTACTAGAAGCCCAGCCAGCGTTAGCCTGTTTAAGGGTCAAGACCTGACGCTTAAAAGTATAGGTCATGTCAGCCATGTCTTCGACTGCCTAGTGGAGACTGCCTAGTGGTAGATATTTAGAATTGATGGCAGTCTCATCTAGCGTTCAGTAAAGCCCTCTCCTCAGAGGAAATCTCGTGATTGGCAGCTTTGTTTTTCTCCTAAAGCATAAGAAACAACAATGAGGTGCCATCTGCCCAGTATCATCTTGATTCTTTGTGTCATGTTTACTTTCTATTGGTATAGATGGAGCCAGGAGTTCAACCCCACAGAGTAGATAGAGAGTGAGTTGGTTATCACAGCTGGGTCTAGCAGATAATATTAATGAGAGAGGCAAGCATTGTATATGACATTGACAGCATATGGAGGGGAGGAGACTGTTGTTTTATGGGAATATGGTTGCCGAATCTTTAATTTTTTTTTAGAAAAGTTTCCAGAAATTCAGATTTTGATGTGAAAGGCACTGACTTTCAAACATTTGCCACTATACATTTTGTTCTTTAACAGAACCCTCTGTGGGAAAATAAAACTTGTCAGTGAGCTACCTTCTAACCATTTATGACTTCTGATAACTCTAAAGTATCTCAGAGAAGCTTTAAGTTTTGCATTCTCACAGCTTTTTTAAGCTGTGTTTCAGTACCACTTAACAAGCATGTCATTATGGGAAGAGATTTTTTTTTTTTATCTTGAAATTTAAGTATTTCAGACATTTCAGTCAGAATTTGCTAACCCACCTGTTGAGGTTGGAGTTCAGTTTTTGGTTCCTTCCCCACACCTGTGTTGTGTTTACAATTCTAGCGCTGGTCAGACTACGTGGAGCGATACATGAATTCTGATACTACCTCTCCTGAGCTTCGTGAGCACCTGGCACGGAAGCCAGTGTTTCTCCCACGGTGAGTGAACCGTGTCCCGTGGCAGCAACAGGACACTTCTGCGTCCGGGAACAAGGGGTTAGCTCACTTTCAGGGTCTTGGTTCTCATTTTATCTATGGTTCTATTTACCGAAGACAGTGATTTGAGGTTTGTGTGGCTTTTACACCATGCTCTTACCTGGAGCGTATGCCCAAGCATCAGGGTGGTGAGAATTTAGGAATCAGTAATAACTCCCTTTAGGGATGCGTGTCAGACTGTCCAGGGTTTGATGATTCACTGGGAGGACTCGCAGGATGCAGTCGTGCCCACAGTGATGATTTACCGTAATGAGAGGACACACGGCTAAGTCAGCAAAGTCAGAAGGCACCTGTGGCAGAAGTCAGAGGAGGGCAGGCGCGAGCTTCTAGAGAGTCTGTGGCTTCCATTGGAGCCTCAAGGACACTCTTTCCTCCAGCAGCAAGTCACAATATGTTTGCAATGCTGCCTGTCAGAGAAGCTTGCTGGAGACTTGGTGCTGTGAGTTTTTTATTGGTTGCTAGTCCTGTGGGTACCCTCTGCCTAACTTGTACCAAAATTCTAGACTTCCAGAAGGAAAGCAGGTTTTTCAGCTTTCCATTTACTTTGTACAAGTGAGGCACTCTTAGCGTTTAGAGAATGGTGGAAACTCTCCCACGATCCACAGTCCCAGAACCCACCCAGGGGACAACCTTGTAAGCAAGATTTTCAAAGGATGGCAGTCTTAGGCTGGCTGTGTTACTCTTAGCAGAATTTTTGAAATTTCCTCCCTGTATATGGGGAAATTGTGTATGTTGGACGACCTCTATCTGAAGATGAAAACAAAGTTTCAGAAGTAGAAAACAGGTTTTGCTATAGTTGAGCAGCTTTCTTCCTTTCCCAAAGTTTGGGAATTGAAATCTCATGTCTTACATGCCCAGAAAGGTATTATCTATCATAGTGTGATTAGACTCTTTCCTGATTGGAACATGGAAAGAGGTGTGAACAGAAGGACGCTGCCAGCTTCTTCTACTCATTGAGTTATTTAGCAGACTTCAAGCAGCTGCTCTGTGCCAGGCCCCTTTCTCAACAAAACAGATTTAGTCTCCATGCTTATGAAACAGTACGAATAAACATAAGATTGTATATTTCTCACCAGATTGGCAAAATTCTTAAAAGATTTGTAAACTGTATTTTAGCAGGTGTGGGAACGAGGGGAGCGACCTTCACATACTTTAAGGGGAGATATTGATACAGTCATTCTGAGGTCAGAGCAATTAAAATGCAGAAGACTTTACCCTGGACCTTTGGTTTTTAATAATTTGCTATTATTACAGCTGGGGTTATTTTTCAGTCTTTCTTCTTGAAACCCTTAAATTCTTAAGAGATTGGATACCTCCCCCCCCAAAGCTCTTAGTTATGTGAATTATATATAGTAATATTTATCACATTTAGAAATTAAAACTGCAAAATGTTTATGAATTCATTAAAAAAATACTAGATGCATTCCATGTTATTATCATAAATAGTGTTTTAATGAAACACTACTTCAAATTAGTGAAAAGAGTGGCTTTGCTCTACATTTTTGTGAATCTGTTTCATGTCTGGCTTAGTATAACAACTGGATTCTCATAGCTGCTCCTATATTCAGTCTGTTTGTTGCACTGTTTTGTTTGGTTGTACTATGTGAAGAAAATCTGGCTAGAAAAGGAAGTATTTTCATATCCTTTCAGATAATTGTAGATATTTGATATGACAACAAAACTCTCCAAGTAGTAGTTTCTTAAAGGTTAGTTGCAGTATCAATGAAAATATCAATGAGCTTATCAAAATCCATTGGCTTATCTTGTACTTTGAATTTTTTCTTGCATGGTTTTATAACTTCATACAGTCAGTTATTTGGAAAATGTGAAATCACTGAGGTATGCAGACCTACCAAATGTTGACATGTTTTCTTTTTACAATATTCCCACCCCTACCTCCATACCACCCCTGAAAAAAGCCACGTTTACTAATATTGCCGTTGACTTCATCAGTCACATCTTTAAGTAGTGGGAAGTTGTCACTTGTCATGCTGGCCAGTACCAATTTATCAAAATTCATAATTTTACTTGAAATCTTAAATTTTATCTTTAACAACAAATACATTCATTTGTTTTTCCTTGAGGTACTAGGCTCTGTTCATTTTTGAGAATATATCTGCCAAATATCCCAGACTGGCTAGTCAGCTATTCTTTCGGGTAAAAAGTGTGAACATTTGCAGTTCAAGTGGTGCTCAAGTGCTTTCCTTCATGAGTCCATTGTACTTCAGCACACAGAGGTGCTTTGTATGTAGTTCCCATTTCATCACCCAGCATATTAAAAAGATGTGAAATAAGGGGCTTTAATTTCATAAGAAATGTTACTGCTTCACAAGGACATTCTTAAGTCAGAGCAGCTTTCCTTTTTGTTTAACTGCTAGTGTGTGGCCAGAGAAGAGTACAAAGATGCCTAAGGAGGTTGGTGCCACCACCAGCTTTTTTTTTAATCACCATTATTTTTATACCGCTAATGCTAATGTTAGTACTTTGTGTTTTATTTTGTTTTTTTAGAAAGAAAAATAGTTTTGATCTCACAACTTCCTCAAAAAGGTCCTGGGCCCTCCAACAGTCCTTGGACCAAAGAACTGCTGTCCTATGGAAATGTACATGAACAAAATATTCATTGAAGCAGTTTTTAATAGCAAAGTATAGGAAACAATAGAATTGTCAAGCTGACAACCTTTCTCTGCTTGTTGTTGAGGGGATTAAGCTCTATATACCTGCCAAGGCATCCACTGATGTGAATTATCTTTTTTCATATGTAGAATGGCACTGATTATGTACTGTCTTTGGGAGAACTGGAAAAATAGACATTTGAATAATGTTTTGTGCTCTGTGGTTCAGGTGAAGAGCCCTGATTGATTCCTGTTAAGGAAATGTTAAATTAAGACATATTTCTCTGTAGCAGTTAAAGAGAATGACACAAATCTATGTTTAATGAAATAAAAAAAATCTTTATGCATTAAGTGAAAAATTGAGAGAGACCTAGAATATTTTAAGCCAGAACTGCTAACAGCAGGACTTCCTTGGTGGTCCAGTGGTTAAGAATCCGCCTGCCAACGCAGGGAACAGTAGTTCGATCCCTGGTCCAGGAACATCCCACATGCCAAGGGGCAGCTAAGCCCATGTGCCACCAATACTGAGCCCATGCTCCACAACAAGAGAAGCCCCCCCAATGAGAAGCCGGCGTACCACAACTAGAGAGCAGCCCCCACTGGCTGCAACTAGAGAAAGCCCACGTGGAGTAACGAAGGCCTAGCACAGCCAAAAATAAATAGATTAAAAAATACCCAAAAACCTAAACTGCCAACAGTGGCTACCCCTGCCAAGGCAAGTGGGATTTTCAGAATTGGGGGTAGTTGGCAATTTCTACTTTTCATTCCATGTATCTCTGCAGTTGAAAAAAGATTTTTTTAACAATGAAACCATTGAACATTTTTTTAGATGTATGTAGTTGTGATCAGCTTCATGAAGGCATATAATAAAGAAAAATTGGGGGGCAGTCATAGGAATCTGCATCTGGAGGAACTCTCACGCTGCAGGGCTTTGCTGCTTTGTAGGAATCTGCGGCGGATCCGGAAGTGTCAGCGTGGTCGAGAGCAGCAGGAGAAGGAAGGGAAGGAAGGAAACAGCAAGAAGACCATGGAGAATGCAGACAGCCTGGATAAACTGGAGTGTAGATTCAAGCTGAATTCCTACAAGATGGTATATGTGATCAAGTCAGAGGACTACATGTATCGGAGGACCGCCTTGCTGCGGGCTCATCAGGTGAGAACCAGTATTTGGAATTTCTCCACACGTCTCCCTCCTAGCCAATACCGGGATGCTGTAACAAAGTACCACAGATTGTGCGACTTAACATCAAAAACTCACTATCTTAACACACTTGTAGAGGCTGGAAGTCCAAAGTCGGAGTGTTGGCAGAGTTGCTTCGAAACTTCTGAGGACTGTGAGGGAAAATCTTTCTTGCCTTTCCAGCCTCTGATGGTTTTCCAGCAATCACCGGCATTGCGGGGCTTGCATATTTCTGCCTTTGTTTTTACATGGTATTCTCCCTAAGTGCAAGTCTGTCCAAATTTCCCCCTTTTTAAAGAACGCCAGCCATACTGGATTATGGGTCCACCCTCCGACAGTATGAGCTCATCTTAACTAATTGTGTCTGCAACAACCTTATTTCCAAATAAGGTCACATTCTGAGGAGTGGAAGTTAGGATTTCCACTTGTGAATTTGTCGGGGGACAACTTAGTAACAGCTGGTGGCACCTTCTAGTGAAGCTACTCCCAGCATTCACATTTCCGATAGCATTGCTTGTGTGAATCCTTGTGTGAATCCCATGTGTTCACTTGTGAAAGTCCTAGTGCTGTTATGTACCAGGTATTGTGCCAGGCCCCGAGACTACAGCCACGAGATAGAGCATGTAAGGTAGTGTGATGATGTGCATTTCCAAGGAAAGAATCGAGGTGAGGTGATCAAGGGTGACTGGCACACAGGGCCCTGCTTTTGTGGGGAAGGCCTCTAAGGAGGTGACCCTGAGGCCTGTACAATGACGAGGACACAGCCTGGTGCAGAGTTGGGTTAGTACTATTTAGGCAAAGGAAACAAGCAAGTGCAAGGCTGGGAGGGAGGAAGGGATTTCACGTGTTCAAAAAACTAACATCACTTGTGGGGGACTTGCTTACTGATCCAGTAGTTGAGGCTCCACACTTCCAATGCAGGGGGTGCAAGTTCGGTCTCTGGTCAGGGAACTAGAATCCCAAATGCCACATGGCAGGGCCTTTAAAAAATAAACATCATTGTGTTTTGAGCCATAGGGAAGGTGGGATGCATGAAGTTGGAGGTGGGCAGAGGCCACATTACTTATTCTCACAGGCTGTGGTTTGGATTTTGAGATACATTGAGACTTTATTGACCAAGATGTAGACTGATGGGAGTGAGCAAGTGCACCAAGTTGGATGGGCAGAGACCACTCAAAAGACTGTTCTCATCCATATGAGATATGATGACTGCCCAGACTATCAGGGTTGTAGAGGGATTTTAATTAGATTGGAGGGACTTCCCTGGTGATCCAGTGGTTAAGACCCTGGAGCTTCCAATGCAAGAGGCCTGGGTTTGATCCCTGGTCAGGGAGCTAGGATCCCATATGCCATGCTGTGTGCCAAAAAAGGATTGGAGATATAATTATCAGGATGTGCTAATGATTGGATGTGGGGAGGTTAAGAGAAAGGAGAACATTAAGGATGATACCTGGTGGGTTTTGTTTTTTGATTTTGTTTCTTTGCTTATTTTGCTTGAGTAACTGGGAAGCTTAGGGGTACGTCTGTTAACAGGAAAGGGTTATTATCAGGTTTGGGAGGCAGATCAAAGGACTACAGAACATTCAAGTGGGAAGCACAGGGTGGGCAATTTAATCTGCTACTCTCTCAGAGCTGTATGTTATATGTCTGCATGTCTGATTCAAATGATATAGGGAGCTGGGAAACACCTAATTCATCTCTGTATCACCTTCCCTTCCTTGCTTATGGGCACCAACAAGTATGTTGGAGGTAGGAACAAAAAACCTCCACTAAAGATCTGCTGTTTCCAACAATCTGCTGGACAGAGTGGGATAATAGCAGGAAGGGATAGTGGGTTTTAAACCCTTTGCCTTACGCTGTGACAGAAATGACCAACAGCCTCAGCTCATTGTCTCACTTAGGGTACATTAGAATCAGCTGAGTTGCTGGTTTATAAATACAGATTGATGGAAACAAGAAACTCTGTACACGTTTTTTCCAAGACCTTCTTCCTCAACACGCCACCACATGGTGATGCTGCAGACTGAAATCGAGAAGCACTGAGCTAATTCTGACCAGACCTTGGGTTGGCATTTCTCTGGGGGCTTTATGATCTGCAACTTGAGCCCACATCTTTCCTCTGCTACTTTAGAAGAAAATTGGATTTTGTATTTAAAGGGTTTTTTAGTCCTAGTTCATGGGTGGTTTCTTCTTTGTTCTATTTTGCAGTCCCATGAGCGTGTAAGCAAGCGGCTACATCAGAGGTTCCAGGCCTGGGTAGATAAATGGACCAAGGAGCATGTGCCCCGTGAAATGGCAGCAGAGACCAGCAAGTGGCTTATGGGTGAGGGGCTGGAGGGCCTGGTGCCCTGCACCACCACCTGTGACACAGAGACCCTGCACTTCGTGAGCATTAACAAGTACCGTGTCAAATACGGCACAGTGTTCAAAACCCCATAACTGCAAAGCCAGAGCAGATAACTGGAGGGGGGTGGTGTGTGTGGGGGGGCACGTGTACTCGCACACACTGAAGAAACAAGGAAGATGCCTTTCAAGCCTCACTGGGCCTCTCTGGGACATGGCCACCTGATCTGTGCGTGGCTGGTGCAACCTGGCACCAAGTGGGCTGCATATAAGGAACGTGTGATCCCTCACAAAGCCGGAGTTGGAACTTTTCCCAGGGGTTTTGGGTATTAGCCTGCCCTGGAGGGGAGGAAACCCACGCAAGCACAGGGACACGCAGCTTGCACACACCAGCAGAGTGGAGACTGGAGCCTCTTGGGGCGACCTTTGGTGAGGGAACCGGATGCTGTTCACACCTGGACTGGATGGGCAAGCATCGACTGACAGACTCGAGAAGAGTCATCACTTAGATGGATTGTAACTCTGATGGTCACTGCTCCTTTCCTCTTCCCCCCAAAAAGGAAAAAAAAAAAAAAAACTGGATTGGATTTTTTTTTCCTGGTCACTTGAGCACATCTAGATCACCCATTAGGTTTTCTCTGGGACCTGCAGTTTGGCTTTGGGATTGATCATCTTGTGGATTTGATTCCTGATGAATACCTTGCTGCCCACCCTTTCTTCTCTCCTCTGGTTCTCAGCCTCAACAAGTTCAAATCAGTCGTCCTTTTTAGCTCCCGTGGAACTGTTTTGTACCTGCTTCTTTACTAGTCTACCCTAGTGCCATCCACCAGCTTTACTCACACACACACACACACACACACACACACACACACAATTTTAACTTGGTTTTTCTCTTTTTTTTTGTAAATAATGTACATACTGTCAATTTTTTATTAAAAGAAATATGCTTTGATGTGCTAGCATAACTGCTCTAGCTTCTTGTGTACCATAGTTCTATGTGGCTTCAGATTTAGTACCTATGAACAGATGTACAAGACATTTATTACACTTTTTACCAAAGGGAGTTACCGTTGTAGTACTTTTGTGTAAAACTTGTCTTCCTTCTTGCCCCAACTTTTTTTTTTTTGTAAATAAATAAAGCTTGGTTCTTACTTAAGGAATAAACTCTCAACACAAGTCCCTTGTCCTCACCAGAGAATACTGTGAAGCAGGGATTTGGGCTTCGGTTCCTTATCTACATACAGTACAAAAACAGGATTTTGCTTTAAATAGTTGGCAGTCAGTTGCACTTGTCCCAAATCAAAATATCTCACATTTTAAAAATAGAATTATTCATTCTTTTGGCACATATTCTACCCCCTTATTTCAGCTGTTTGGAAATATTTTACATATGGGTATGTTGTGCAGCTGTATAGTTTGTGCTTCTCTATTTTTTCTTCCCTTCATTGGAAATGGGAGTGAACAGCTTAAATACCAAACTAGTGTTTGAAAGAAGTGTGTACACAGTGTGTGATATAAATGGGGTTAGGAGGGAGAAGACTTGATACATTAGCAACTGCAAATGGAATATATACGTATATATATTTTTTAATTATGTAAATTTAAAGCAGCAGATATTTAAACAAGTGATCAGGATTTTTGTATGTGGGCAGCCTGACTTTTCTGAACAAACACCAACTGAGCCCCTCCCAGGACTGGTGAATTTTTCTCCAGCAACCATTACTCTAGTCAAAGTAAACAATGGTGTTCCTGTGTGGTTTTGTTTGCTTTTTAATTAAAAATCCCTAATATCACCACCACAAAACCACAATTTTTTTTGCTCTGGACTTTCCTTACGAATGGTAAGCTTATCTGATTTTTAGACTTTTTTGTTGAGGGGGGCAGTGGAGGGATGGGACAGTTATAGAAGACTCAGCTCACATGTGTGAGGTGGCAGCAAAGGCTGTGGGAGGAGATTCTGGTGAAGCTGCAGCACTGCCTCACTTGGAAAGTGTAGTGATACTGATGGGTTGGGTAGGATCTTCAGGTTATCCACCAGTAACTCAACCCATCCCCATCTGCTTGCTTAAGAAAGATCCTGTTGACTTGGAGTTAATAGGGGGAACTGATTGAACGTGACCCAGGCAGCCGCAGCTATTGCTGTGTCTGCAGAGGGTTATGTCCAGAGCAGCTCCCTGCAGGTCAGGATAGGGTTTCAGGACCAATCCTACTAGTGCAACCAAAAGAAGGGAGCTTCACCTACAGCCAGGATTTACAAACAGCATTTTTATGTCTCCTAGCTTCTGACATCTGAACTCCAAGCTCAGCTCAGCCTATCTTAGAGCAGCAAGTTATATTTTAAGTCATGTTTGGTATTCTGTACTTAAGTCACCTTTCCCTACGATTTGCATTTGAAATGTTGTAAACTTGGTCAGTATTTCTATTAAAACATCAGGGGTCCGTTATGTTGTGTATATACTTTTCTTCCTAATGATTTTATAGAGGAAGATTTCATCCCATTCCCAGGAGGGAGGTGGGGGAAAGCTGCCAATAGACTGCCAGAGTAACATGAGGATGAAATTGGAGGTGTTTCTGGTATTATGGCTTCTCTGAACTCATCAGTCCCTATAGGGAAATGCATTATTCTGTTAGGCTCATAAATTCTATGTTTGATCTGCCGTCTCAAAGTCTTAAGTTTCTGGCAATGGGCAGCAATTAGCCATATACATAAAATAGAACACGTAGTAGAGGAAGCTGAGGTTACTGGGATATAAAGCACTCCCTATTTAACACACGTCCGCCGAATACCTTGAAAGCACCGGTCCCTGGCGCCACCTTAAGCAGACACAGGACCATAGGCAAGGAGGTTCCTCTTGTAGCTTCTGAGACTTAAGTGATCTGGATCTGCAGCAACCCAAGCTCCCACCAGTCGCGCCTTCGGTCTGTCTCTGTCCTAGGCTTTTCTCAGAATCGAAACGTCAGACTTCCTGTTTTACTTAAGGATTTGCCCAGTGGCGACCAGCTTGGACCGAGATAAGAGTAAAGCCTCAGAAGCGCAGCTTTTAGCTTTCAGCTCGCTGCTCAAAGTTCGGAGCAGCGGGGCTTCACTGAGCCGTTGGTGTTCCACGGAAAGTTGCCCGGGCCTGGAAGGCGCCTTTTCGGCGCCGGAACCTTTGGTTCCAGGCCGAGGATCGCGCCGGCAGCGCCTGGGGCCTTCCGGGGAGAGGGGAGAGGAGAGATGAGCGAGCGCGAGGCGATGGCGGCGGCGGCAGCGCCGGCCCTGAAGCACTGGCGCACTACGCTGGAGCGGGTGGAGAAATTCGTGTCGCCGCTCTACTTTACCGATTGTAATCTTCGCGGCAGGTGTGGCCCCCTCGCCCAGGGCACCCGCCGGCCGCATCCACGCGTCTCTAGCCTTCCCTTCCGGGGGGAAACCCAAGCTTCGGCCACGTGGGCCGAGGGACAAAGTGTCCGCCTCAGATAGTGCTGAGGCCCGGGAGGAGGGAGTGGGGAGAGACTGTGTCGTGGGGCAGCCCTCCCGGCGGTGGATGGAGGGAACGCACATCCCCACCCGCCGGCTGGCCCACGAGCGCGCGCCACCTGCCCCTCCCGCCCAGGCTCTTCGGACACAGCTGCCCAGTGGCCGAGCTCTCCAGCTTCTTGACGCCCGAAAGACTTCCCTACGAGGAGGCAGTCCAGCAGGACTTCCGCCCCGCGCAGGTCGGCGACAGCTTCGGACCCACGTGGGTAACGCTCCAGAGAGGGCGGAGTCCCTGGGCCCCATCTCCCAGCTTGTTTGACTCCCCTATAAGCCTCCATTGTCGGCTTTCTGCCCTAGACAGTCACTTAGGGCAGAGCAGCACCCTCTGCTGGAGGGTGGTTCCTCAAGCCTTTATGGAAGAATTTTCTCTTCCCTAATACTGCCCACGGGCTTCCCTGTGGCTCAGATGTTAAAGAATCCGTCTGCAATGCGAGAGACTTGGGTTCAATCCCTGGGTTGGGAAGATCCCCTAGAGAAGGGAACAGCAACCTACTCCAGTATTCTTGCCTGGAGAATTCCACGGACAGAGGAGCCTGGCGCGCTACAGTCCATGGTGTCACAAAGAGTCGGACACGACTGAGTGACTTCCACTTCACTTCTTCCTGCTCAGTGACATCCCTTGGGAAGGGCACTCTAGGACAGATCACAGACCGCTGACTCTCTGCCTCCTTCTCTCACCTTGCTGCACAGCCCATTGTTTCTTTCTTGTGGATCAAAGCTGAATATCTTGTGGTGCTGCAGATTCTGGCAGAAAGTCTCAAGCCTTTGCTGACCCTTCAATCATAGGAAGTATGTCGAAAGGACAGGGCTTTGACCCCTAGGCTCATCTTAGTGGTTCTGTTGCAGATGGTGGACCTGTTGGTTCCGCGTAGAGCTGACCATCCCAGAGGCATGGGTGGGTCAGGAAGTTCACCTTCGCTGGGAAAGTGATGGAGAAGGCCTGGTGTGGCGTGATGGGGAACCTGTCCAGGTGAGGAGCCCTGCCCTGGGTCAGGTATGGCCACCTTTCAGCCCTGGTCTCTGGCGAAACGACAGCTGAGTGGCTATGCCTGCAGGGTAGTATCAGGATTTCAGGACTGGATGAGTTTTTGCTTAGGCCCCTGTGTAACTGTTCCTTCTTATATTTAAGCGGATCACTTAAGGTCTCAACATAATTAATGCTAAGCCAACTCTGCCACTGACTGGTCACCCTCCCATTCTAGAATGAAACTAGTTACTAATCAAATACAATAATATGTACAGCAGATGGACTTACTAAGCCTTTACTAGATGCTCGGTGCCAGACTAGTGGCTTTGCAGACTGTATCACTTTTTATTTTTAGTTTTTAATAAACTAGTTTTTATTATATGTAATATATGCTTATGGCAGCTGGGGAGGAGGACTTTGAAACAGTTCTGGATAATATAAAGTTTACAAAGTCCTCTTTACCTGAAATAATGGGTCTCTCCCTACCACCTCACCCCCAGTTCCTCAGATAGAGCCACTATTAAGTGCCTTGTTTATGCATCCAACTTTATCAGGTTTAACCTTTATAATCCTATGTGATAGGTTTTTATGGCCAGTGGCTCAGATAGTAAAGAATCTGCCTGCAGTGCAGGAGACCTGAGTTCAATCCCTGAGTCAGGAAGATCCCCGGAGAAGGGAAGCTACCCACTCCAGTATTCTTGCTTGGAGAATCCCATGGACAGAGGAGCCTGGCGGACTACAGTCCATGGAATTGCAGAGTCAAACACCACCAAGCGACTAACACTTTCACTTTTCACAGACAGAAACTGAGATATGTAGAGGTTAGCACACTTGCTTGGGTTCACACAGCTTCTATTTCAGTTTGACTAATCCTCAGTCTCTGGTTAGGACTGTTGCTCTTCCTGTGCAGAAAGGCAGCAGACCCCTCCCTTCCTCCCTCCCTTCCTTGGCTCAGTGGATGTCTCCTGAGTGCTGTCTCTTCACAGGTCCCTGTGCTAAGCACTGGGATGTAGTGGAGAATGAAGCAAACCTTTCCCTGACCTCATAGCGTTTCCTGTCAGATGCTTATTCGGGGTACAGAGGCCGTCAGAAGCCACCAAGGACCTGACACCTACCTAAGACCCCACAAGACCAGTGGCTTTTCTGCTGGTCAACAGGTGACATTTGGTGGCCATGGTGATGACTGCCGTTGGGTGTGAGGGGCACTTGCTACCAGAGGTCCCTGATTTGTCAGTCTTGGCCTTGGGAGAGAGGAGCTAGTGCTAGAGGTCCAGTAGAGGGGCCTGGCCCCCTTCAGCTTATACTTCACGAGAACCGTCCACAAGCCTCAGGCCCTGTCTCTTTCACTCCGCTCCCCACCAGGGTTTGACCAAAGAGGGAGAGAAAACCAGCTACATTCTGACTGACAAGCTGGGGGAGAAAGAACCCCGCAGGTGAGTGAGTCCCTGGACTATGGCTGACCAGTGCTGTAGGGGAAGGAGGCACCAGAGGGTGAGGAGGCACCAAGGTCCAGAGTGATCTCAGAAACACACCCACTTTCAATACCACCATCCTCAACCCTCATAGTTTGTTTTTAAAAAGCAGGATTTTTCTGACCAAAAAGATAGCATTTTAGTTCCTACATTAAATGCAGAAAAGCACTAAGAAGTAAATATTAGTAATTCCTATTACTCCGTCATCTAGAGATATCCATTATTAACAGCTCAGCATTCTTCCCAGGAATTTTTTCAGAGGTGGCACTTATTAGTTGAGGTTTGATATTTTGCATCCTGATTTTTAAAAATTCCATATTGTAACATGTGCATTTTATGACACCATCAAAAAACTCTGCTTAGATGTTATATTTTATTATATTCAGTATTTATTAAACATTGTGTATCTGATGTTTCCAGACATGGGGACTATGATGGTGAATGATGTGATCTTTGACAGCAAGGGAGACTTACATATACAATTACAAAACTGATGAGGGCTCTGAAAGAAAGCACTCTGAATGGGAGAAATCTGTTCTAGACTAAGGAGAGCACTAGGGGAAGAGTCCCAGAAGGCTTCCCGAAGGAAGTCATGTTTGCTTTCTGAAGATTGAGCAGAACAGCACCACAGCCTATCACACTGCTCCGAACAATGGCCTGCATCTGTTGGCTGACAGATTGTTGCTCTGAAACCTGGACCTGGGAGATCCAAACATGTTTTTAATGTGCAAAGAGGGTTCTGAGACCCAGGCAGTGCTTTGTATAGACGGCTTTGGAAACAGAAGTATAACAACATAATTCACACAGTTCCAAACTTGGCTACCTATCCTCCCCAGCCGAGGCAGAATGTGGGTTTAGTCTGTTGTTTCCACCATGACCCTCTGTCAAACATACCTGACATAACTGTGAGATCCTCTGGGTGGTAGATCCTGCGGGCACATGAGGAGGGGTCTGTTGGATGCCTCCTTGGTCCTCCCTGCCCAAGCCCCAGAGTCCTCTGCCAGTCCCTTGGCCTGAGGCTGCCTCCCCACATTTGTAGCCTGACCCTTTATGTGGAAGTAGCCTGCAATGGGCTCCTGGGGGCCGGAAAGGGATCCATGATCGCAGCCCCTGATCCAGAGAAGATGTTCCAGGTGAGCCGGGCTGAGCTGGCCGTGTTCCACCGGGATGTCTACAAGCTCCTGGTGGACCTGGAGCTCCTGCTGGGCATCGCCAAGGTACTCAACACCCCCACCCCACCTGTATACTCTCTCGAGCCCTGTTTCAGGCAGGCTGTTTCTTGGGTCAGATAGCTGGGGCTCCAGGAATCCAGAATAGAGAGAGAGTTTTATGCCTGCCTGAGTGTTGGGAGGACTTCCCTGTGTAAAGGGGAAGAGGGAGACAGTGCTGAGCAGGAGGACCAGCAGGAGCACAGGGTTGGTGGTAGGGAGGAACTCTGCTGAGAACCCCTGGGAGATCAACTGGGGTCTAATTTTGGAGCTTCTGCTTGCTTGAGATGGGGATTAAGGGGCAGAACCCTGCTGCAGGGCCTCGGGGAGGACAACCAGCGCAGCTTCCAGGCCCTGTACACTGCCAACCAGATGGTGAACGTATGTGACCCTGCCCAACCTGAGACCTTCCCAGTGGCCCAGGCCCTGGCCTCCAAGTTTTTTGGCCAACGTGGGGGTGAAAGCCAGCATACCATCCACGCCATGGGGCACTGCCACATTGACACAGGTAGGGCAGCAGTTGGCCGGGTTGGCTCGGCATGGGGGGTCAGGAGTGGTCTTGAAGACCTTGTTGCACCCTGAAAGCACTGTGTGATCCACTTCAAGTTCTTGGACCTCAGTTTTTCCCATGTGTAAAATAGAGAAAGGGGAATAGACTGTAGCTTTTGTTAAATGTGGCTTCATTTATTCTTTCAGCAAAATCTGATGTCCTTGATGGCATTATGCTAGATATTGGGGGGAGGGGGGAGCATTATTGAGGCTGATGATCACAAAATAGGCAGAGACAGTTGCTGCCATGATGGAGGGAAGTATGGGGAGATGGGGAGCCCAAAAGAGGCACATAACCCAGCTGGGTCTGGCAGATTCAAGAAGGGCTTCTTAGAGGAGGTGACCTTTGAACAGAATGAGGATGAGTAAGAATTTGACAAGGGTGCCCGAATCCTCAGACAGGAGTGATGTGTGGAAGTAGTTGAGATGGGGACGCAAGCACAGGGGGAGGCTTCCTGGGGAGGATCAGGAGTTCATTTTGGAACCTGATGAGTCTGCAGTGTCTGAGTCTTACAGGAAATGACATTTTAAACGAACTTCCCAAGGTATTGATTCTTGATGCAGCTGAAGTTTCTGAGCCACAGAACCGGGGCTTTCTCTGCTGTGCCAAAGCATGGGATGTGGTGTTCTGGGCTGGTAAAGAAGGAACTGAGGAGGCCTAGAGGTTATGAGAGGCAGCAGTGCCTCAGGCAGGATGGACCCAGGCGGGTCCATCCAGGGAAGCGGTGCCCTCTGTTCCTGGATGTCTTCCGTGTGTGTAGGGGAGGGGCCACCCCTGCTGCTTCCTAAAGGATCCTGTCTAAACCACAGAATAAGGCCAATCCAGGGACTGGGGCCCCCACTTCCTGACTATAAAACTGCCCCGCTAGCCCCAGCCATGTAAAAGTGACAGCTCAGGAGAGATGCCACAGGACTCAGCAGGGAATGGGATGGGATGGGAGGAAGGCTATGGTGACCCTCTGGTGGCCCAGGAGGGGCCTGGTTGGGTGCTAGGGGACAGGGGTGCAGCTGGAGGTCTGTGAGGGGCTAGGAACCTGGCTGCTCTCCTCTATCTTCACCCTCCTCCCCGCCTAGCCTGGCTCTGGCCCTTCAAGGAGACCGTGCGGAAATGTGCCCGGAGCTGGGTGACAGTCGTTCAGCTCATGGAGCGGAACCCCGAGTTCATCTTTGCCTGCTCCCAGGTCAGAGGGACGGCTGTGTGAGTGGTACCTGGACCCCAGGGGGTGCTAGTGTGGGGTTCCCAGGGCTTCGCAGCCCACCTTCTGAGCCCCAGGCACTCAGCCCTGGGTGGGGTTCATGTTGCTCCTGGCCAGCTCCCACCCCATCTGCCCCACAGGCGCAGCAGCTCGAGTGGGTGAGGAGCTACTACCCTGGCCTGCATGCCCGGCTCCAGGAGTTTGCCTGCCGCGGGCAGTTTGTGCCCGTGGGGGGCACCTGGGTGGAAATGGTGAGTGCCTTCTGCAGCCCCTCAGCCTCAGGCCTTAACCATCAAGTATTCTGTCCTCAGCTGTGCTGGTGACTTTCTGCAGGTCCTTTATGCCCTCTTATCAGTCCCTGGAATCCTAGGGTTCAGGACTCCCGGGGGGTGGGGGTCTCAAGCACTGTGACGGGCCATCTGTGTGACCCGGCCCCGGATACCTCCTTGTCTGGCAGACAGACGGTTAGGCTGAAGTGAGGAGATGGACGCTTCCGGGACACTGGCTTCCCCCAGTGTCAGAGCCCTGGCTTCTCCGGATGGGGTGGTTGCCTGAGTCCCTGCCCGTCTTGTCTGGTCCTGACCCCAGCGGCCCCCTTCTTCCCTCATGGCCAGGATGGGAACCTTCCCAGTGGAGAGTCCATGGTGAGGCAGTTCCTGCAGGGTCAGAACTTCTTCCGTCAGGAGTTCGGGAAGATGTGCTCAGAGGTAGGTGGGGAGCTGCTACACCGGCAGGCAGTAGGGGCCGGAGCTTGCCCTCGAGTGAGGAGGGGCTGCAGCTGGGCTGCTCTGCCGAGCTCCTGGGTCCGCGTGCCCCAGACGCCTTGTCCCTGCAGTTCTGGCTGCCAGACACATTCGGCTACTCTGCGCAGCTGCCCCAGATCATGCGTAGCTGTGGTATCAAGCGCTTCCTCACCCAAAAGCTGAGCTGGAACTTGGTGAACTCCTTCCCGGTGAGCAAGCCCGGGGGGCCAGGCTTGGAGCGGGCCTGGGTCCCTCCTGGCCTGAACATCTCGTCCAGGCTTATTGAGGGGTCCTGGACAAACCACCCAGCCCCCATCCAGGGAAGACCTGCCTCTCCCAGGGTCACACAACAGGAGGGGCAGGTGAGGGAGGCCCGGCTCTGCCTCAGCCCTGACTCTGGCCTCACTCTTCCCCCTGTCTCCCTGCCTGTAGCACCATACCTTTCTCTGGGAGGGGCTGGATGGCTCCCAGGTGCTGGCCCACTTCCCGCCTGGTGACTCCTATGGGATGCAGGGCAGTGTGGAGGAGGTGAGAGGCATCTCGTGGCCGAGGTCGGGAAGGGAGGCAGGCTGGAGGGGGCCAGGCATCCAGCCTAAGCTGACCAGTGTGGACCTGCCCCCACCTGTCCAGGTGCTGAAGACAGTGGCCAAAAACCAGGACAAGGGACGGACCAACCACAGTGCCTTCCTCTTTGGCTTTGGGGATGGAGGTGGTGGCCCCACCCAGACCATGGTGGACCGCTTGAAGCGGCTATGCAATACCGATGGGCTACCCAGGTCAGGCCTGGATTCACTCCACCCCACCCTCTGCCCTTGCCCTGAGCCTTGCCTCTGCTCAGACATTGGGCCCAGTGCCTCCCCTCAACCTTGTTCCCTCCAATTTCAGACCATGGGCACCTCCCAACTTCTACCCTGGAGGTGGGGTGGGAGAAAAGCCGAAGGTGGGAAGGAGCTTAAAAGCACTAAAACAGAACTCTCCTGGGGGGGTGTCCAGACCTGGCCTTGTCTGGACAGGGAGTCTTCTTGGGGTGGCTCCACTCTGTCCGGGCTGGACCTCTTGTCACACTTGCATGGAAGAAGGGTGAGTCACATGGCCCAGGCTGGGAAACCCAGGTTTGCAGTCTCCCTCAGGGTGCAGCTGTCTTCTCCGGAGCGACTCTTCTCGGCGCTGGAGGGCCACTCGGAGCAGCTGTGCACCTGGGTTGGGGAGCTCTTCCTGGAGCTACACAACGGCACCTACACCACCCATGCCCAGGTCGGGATCTGGCTGCTGAACCAGCGAAGCGGGGGTGCCCTAGAGTGGCCCAGACCTGGGGGAAGAGGCTTGTGTTCCATGGAAGAGCTGAGAGGAGTGCAAGAGCTGGGTGCTTAGGAGCCTGGAGGTGGCAGGACTCAGCATCTCTTAGCGGGGAGGGTCTTGGGCAGAGGGGAGAGGAGGCAGGCTTTTGGGACAGACAACACATAAGGCTTCATCCAGGAGTTCCTGGAGAGCATCAGGGGTTCTGAGCAAGAGAAGGCTTTGGCAGGGGGGCCCTGGGATGCTTGCCCAGGCTCTAGACTGAGTCCCCCTCCCTTGGGCTCAGATCAAGAAGGGGAACCGGGAGTGTGAGCGTATCCTGCACGACGTGGAGCTGCTCAGCAGCCTGGCCTTGGCCCGCAGTGCCCAGTTCCTCTACCCAGCTGCCCTGCTGCAGGATCTCTGGAGGTCAGCACATCTTCTGCCACCTGCTAACCTCACCCAGACGCCTCTGTGGCTGCCCCAGCCTCCCGGCCTTCCCCAGCCTCCCATCCTTCTCAGCCCTGCCCTTGGCCCCCGCAGGCTCCTGCTCCTGACCCAGTTCCATGATGTGGTGACTGGGAGCTGCATCCAGCTGGTGGCAGAGGAAGCCATGTGCCACTACGAAGGTGAGGCTGATAACATTTCCACAGCTTTCCAGCACCTGGTGCAGCGCCTAGAGTGTCCCCATGGGACATTCAGGGGTCACCCCGACCCCCTGCCCACCCATAACCAACCAGTCTCTCCCCAGACATCCGTTCCCATGGCAACACACTGCTCAGTGCTGCAGCTGCAGCCCTGTGTGCTGGGGAGCCAGGTCCCGAGGGCCTTCTCATTGTCAACACGCTGCCCTGGAAGCGCACTGAAGTTCTGGCCCTGCCCCGGCCTGGTGGGGCCCACTCCGTAGGTATGAGCTGGGGAGAAGGGTGTCTACTGTGGCAGGAGAGATCAAGGCCAAATTGAGAGTCAGGGACTTTGGCCTGGGGGTCTCTGCCCCAGGGTGCCCCAGGCTAGAGAGGAGGAGTAGTATTTACTCCCTCCACCCCACCCTACCCTGCCCCAAGTATGGTTCCTGAAAGGTCAAGGAGGTTGCCCTGACGCCCAGCCTCCTCCCCAGCCCTGGTCACCGTCCCCAGCATGGGCTTTGCTCCTGCTCCCACCCCCACCTCACTGCAGCCCTTGCTGCCCCAGCAGCCTGTGTTCGTAGTGCAAGAGGTGAGTGCTGGCATGTGGCGGTGGGGCAGGGGCTGTCCTGGGCTGTCCCTAACAGAAGTGTGGAAGTTCTGAGCTCCCCAGTCTGGAGCAAGTGGCGAGGCAGGGCTGGGGCTGGAGGTCAGGTGGGCTGTTGGTTGCGGGACGCCCCTGCAGACCTAGCCTCAAGGCACCCTCCCACCAAGACTGACAGTTCTGTGACTCTGGACAACGGCATCATCCGAGTGAGGCTGGACCCAACTGGCCGCCTGACATCCCTGGTGCTGGTGGCCTCTGGCAGGTGCTTACCCCTTGCCCTCTCCCAGTGCCTGGCAGGTGGACCCCAGACCTCTCATTCCCTCTGTCCCCTGGCCACAGCTGACCACAGTAGCCCACAAGTGGCTCTGGACTGGGACCCACACATGGAGCAGGGCCTACTAACCCTACTCTCCACCCCACCTACCTCAAACAGCTAGGAGACCAAGATCATTCGGTTATAAAGTATTGATGTCCATGTCTTTCCAGGGAGGCCATTGCTGAGGGCGCCGTGGGGAACCAGTTTGTGCTGTTTGATGATGTCCCCCTGTACTGGGATGCATGGGACGTCATGGACTACCACCTAGAAACACGGTGAGGGGTGGGCAGGACTCAGGGTAGTGGTAGTGGGAATACGAACAAGTGTACTGGGTCCACTCTGCCAGGCTGTCCTGGCTCAGCGCCTCTCCCCCCTATTCCACAGGAAGCCAGTGCTGGGCCAGGCAGGGACCCTGGCAGTGGGCACTGAGGGTGGTGTGCGGGGCAGCGCCTGGTTCCTGCTGCAGATCAGTCCTAATAGTCGGCTCAGCCAGGAGGTTGTGTTGGACGTTGGCTGCCCCTATGTCCGCTTCCACACTGAGGTAGCAGGGGGCAGGGTGGTGGGTATCTTCCCTGGGTGTGGCTGGTGAGGAGGGGCCAGCCCCTTGTCCCCCACCCCCCACAGGTGCACTGGCACGAGGCCCACAAGTTCCTGAAGGTGGAGTTCCCTGCCCGTGTGCGCAGCCCCCAGGCCACCTATGAGGTCCAGTTTGGACATCTGCAGCGGCCCACCCACTACAACACCTCTTGGGACTGGGCTCGATTTGAGGTCTGCCATGGGGTGGTGTGGGGTGGAAGGTTTGGCTCCTCCCTGGCTGGGGAACGACTCGTTTGGTATGGGGTGAGGAGGAACATGATGGTTCCTGGCATGTATGCCAGGCATTGTGCTTTATGTTCAGTTTGATATTCATGCCCATTTGATGGGGTAAGGACTCTTAATCCACCTTTCCCAGATGAGGGACTGAAGCTTAGACAGGCTGTGTGGTGTGCCCAGGGCCTTCCGAGGTGAGAGCTGGAATTCAGTCAGTGGTGAGGTCCCAAAGCATCCCTCAGTCTAGGACAGGGAGCTCTGGAGCACTTGGGGGGGGGGGGGGGGCGGGGGGCACCAGGCGGGTCTCTGATCTGCGCTGCAGGTGTGGGCCCACCGCTGGATGGATCTGTCAGAGCACGGCTTTGGGCTGGCTCTGCTCAATGACTGCAAGTATGGTGCGTCAGTACGGGGCAACGTCCTCAGCCTCTCGCTGTGAGTGGGGTGCCCCCCAGGGACTGCTATGGGATCCCAGTCTTGCCAGGACAGAACTGCAGCAGCTCCAGCCTGTCCTTTCCCACCCTCCCCACCGCAGCTTGCGAGCGCCTAAGTCCCCTGACGCCACCGTGGACATGGGACGCCACGAGTTCACCTACGCGCTGATGCCGCACAAGGGTGAGTGCTGCGCCCCATACTCCTCTGCCCTTCTCGGCCTCCGCTGCCCCAACGGTAAGTGGGGAAAATGCCTGTAGTCCCGCGGCCTGACCCCATGTCCCACCACACGTCCCTTTTCCGGTCTGCGCCCAGGCTCGTTCCAGGACGCTGGCGTTATCCCCGCTGCTTACAGCCTCAACTTCCCGCTGCTGGCGCTGCCGGCCCCGGGCCCGGCGCCCACCGCTGCCTGGAGCGCCTTCTCAGTGTCCTCGCCTGCGGTCGTGCTGGAGACTGTCAAGCAGGCAAGGGGCGGGGCGGGGCGGGGCAGGGGGCGCGTTCGGGGCTGGGCCTGCCATAGACCCCGCCCACCACCACACCTCCCTCCGCAGGCGGAGACCAGCCTCCAGGGCCGCACACTCCTGCTGCGGCTCTACGAGGCCCACGGCAGTCACACCGACTGCTGGCTGCACACGTCGCTACCGGTTCAGGAGGCCATCCTGTGAGTAGGGGTGCAGGGTAGCAGTGGGGGTCTTGCCCTCGCGGGGCCCTCATGGTCACTTCCTGTTCTCCAGCTGTGACCTCCTGGAGCGCCGCGACCCTTCTGGGCCCCTACTCCTCCGGGACAACCGCCTGAAGCTCACCTTTACTCCCTTCCAAGTGCAGTCCTTGTTGCTCGTTCTGCAGCCCCCACCGAACTGAGTTCCTGAGGGTGGGGTTTTGTTTGTGGAAGGCTTTGGCAGCCCCTCAGTTTTGCCTCCTGAGCCTGAAGCAAGGGTCAGTTACCGCTTGAACAATAAACCCTTGGCTCAGGACCCTGCTGGTAGCCCCTGCTCAGTCCCCTCAGGGCCCATCCTCAGGTTTTGAGGGGATAGTTTTTACCCCAGGCATTTGCGGGCAGGGGCAAGACCTAAGGTTATCTGTACATGCAGCGTCTGGATTGCAGCCCCCATGAGAGAGACCCGGGATATTGGTGATCATAAGCTGACTGAAAGACCATGATGCAAGACGGTGTTCTGGGACTTCATGGTAGTCCAGCGGTTAAGACTATGAGCTTCCAGTGCAGGAGGCGTGGGTTCAACCCCTGGTCAGGGAACTTAGATCCCAAATGGGAAAAAAAAAAGAAGAAGCACTTCCCCCTGTACCCACGGATAGAGGGCTTGGGGCTGAGGAGAAGGCCTGGTGGGTGGGTTCTGACTGACCCTGACTAGGAGGGAAGCATTGACTAGCCTGGACTAGGCTAGAGGAGCAGCCACAGGCCCTGAGGAGTCCTGGACTGGAGGAGCTGTAGAGTCTGGGCTAGCTGGGCAGGGGGCCTCTCCCCTACCCATGAGGGGCCATCCCTGCAGAAGCCGTGACCTCCTGTCCTCAGGACTGGGCACAGCAGGCCCTTCACATTCAGCCTTCCCAGACCTTCTGCAGTCAGCCCAAGAAGTGCCAAGAAGTTCAAGTTTATGCGTTTACTAAAAATTAGCATTTTTCACATGGGCTTAAAAAATGAGGATAGTGGGGTACAATTAAAAATGTAATTGTGTAGGGAATGGCCATAGGGTTGGAGCATCCAGTTCCCTGCAACTTCTAGGAAGCCACACAGGCCCAGACCAAGGGTGCCAGGAGGAGGGGTGGACACAAGCAAGAAGAGCCTCTTGCTAGGAGGCTGAGGTCCCCTCAGGCTCCAGGGATGGGGTGTCAGCCTTGGTCTTTCGGGTTCTGCGGCGGCCTGGGGAAAGACAGGTGAGATGGCAGTCCCTGGCCGAGGACTCCCCAAGAGCGCCCCTCCCGCCTTTGTGCACATATTCCTCCCACCCACACTGCCATCCCTTCTGGGGCGCTCACTGTGGTGGTCCATCCCTCCCCAGAGGAAGTTGCTGAGGAGAGCCCACCTGAGGGTGCTGGTCGCCGCCGCCTCTTCCCTGTGTCAGGGACTGGGGGCGCTTCTGGGTCCTGGTGGAGGCTGGTCCCCTCGGGCAGCTGGGCTGTAGTCTGTTTAGGAAGGCCTCTCTGTGCCCTTCGTGTCCTTGAAGGGGCCTTGTTTGGAGATGGAGGGTCCTGGGTGGAGAAGACAAAGGTTCCCGAGGAGCCCAGCAGGTCAGGTGGGTGAGGACCCACCTTTGCCCTCCATTGTCAAGGAAAGGAGCTGCCTTAGAGCCTGGCCTGGGAGGTGTGGCTGGACTAGGAGAGAGCGCAGGGACAGGGAGGAGCAGGGAGCCATACCTCCGCTCCGTCCTCAGGACCCTGCTGTGCTCCCTGGGATGACTTCTTCTTGCGGGACTTGCCCCCTGCAGGACATTGATGCTGATGGGCTTGGAGGGTCCTGTGGCCTCGGCCCCCTTTGTCTAGACTCCCACGCTCCCACTCTGGAGTGACTGCCGGGGTCGGAACAGGGGACTGGGATGGAGAAGGGTGCTCTGGCCCTTGCACAACTAGTTCTCTCTGCTCTCGTTACATTAGGAGTTTACCTTTGGGTGCCAGGGGTCCAGGATCCCCCTAAAATGGAATCAGGAGAATTCAGGAGTCAGCCTGGCAGGGGTAGTTTCCTTGGAAAGGCAGAATCATACCTGTCCTTCCAGATCAGTGAAGCCGTTCCCCAAGGAAGCCTGACTGTCCCCTCCCCACCCCCCAGGTCAGCACCAGCAGCAAGGTCCCCCTGCTCTGGGGCTGCGCCACTAGCGGGGACCCTAGGACTCAGAGGAGGGGCGGAGCATAGCACAGGGAAGGCTTAGACCCTCAGGACCAGTGTGACCCCAGGTCTTTCCATCCCACCAGCTTCCTTAGGTCTCTGCCTGTACAACCATTAGAGCCCAAACCTGGAACCAGATGGTGCGGCCATGCCGGTCCTGCAGGGAGCTCATGCCTGGTGCGCTGTAACACCGCAGCCAGGCTCGGAAGGTAGCAAAGTCCTCCTCCCCGCTCTCCGGCCCGTAGCCTTTGCCCCCTGTGGGACAGAGGAACCAGGCGGAGATCAGAGGGCTGACTTAGGCTGAGAGGAGGGGGAGCCCAGTTAGACCTGACTCAGACATCAGCTTCAAAGATGATGGACCGAGTCAGGGGGCCAAGGCTCTCCCTCCTCCAGCTGTGTGACCTCAAGCTGGTGTCTTCCCCACTCTGGGCCATGGCTTTCCCATCCTGAAGTCGAATTAAGAATCCTTGCCCTGCCTGCCTCATGGGCAGCTCAGGAGACACAGACACCCAACAAGTGAAGATCTGTGAAGGAGGTGTAGTCCATTTAGAAACGACTAGGTCGACAAACTTCCGTTCTCCGGGGAGGGAACCAGGCCCAGAGAGGGGCAGGAACTGTCCTGGGTTACATGATATGCCAAAGCAGAGCTAGCCAGCCATCTTTGCCTCCCAGGCCTCACCCAGCTGGACCACTTCTTTGGGCACTGAATGGCACAGCTCCAACAGGTCGGGGTTCTGCAGCTTGGCCCTGATCTTCTGGCTCAGGGTCAGCTCCGGGCTCTGGAGAAGGGGCAGGGGTAGGACCTGGATGTCAGCATGAAGCAAGCCTGCTCAGAAGGCAGTTGATCCCTCGCGGAACAGGCCCCTTCTGAGCTTTGCAGGACACGGACAGTTCATCAGCAGCCCCCATCACCTCCCACACGCACGTACGCGTGCGCACACACACACACACACACACATTGTAGACACAGGCTGGAATGAGAAGGGACCTGCTCGAGCTGAGCCGCAGACACCTGACCCAGCCCCAACCCTTGTCCGCCTGCCTGAGAGGTGCAGGTGCATCCCTCCTGGCACCCTCACCGGCCTGCGCTGCTGCAGGGCCTCCAGAACTGTGTGGGCCTTCTCGAAGGGGGGGATCCTCAGCCTGCAGGGAGGTGGAGAGGGGTGCTAAGCAGAGGGGAACGTGAGCATACCCAGCCACCCCCGCCTCATGCCCAAGGCCTGCCTGCTGACCGGTACAGGATCTCCGCCCGCAGATAGTTGCCAATGCCGTTAAAGAACCTCTGGTCCAGCAGGGCCTCACAGATGGGCCGGTCAAAGGCCTTGTCTGCTAGGTTTCGTAACACATTCTCCCTGGAGGGACACAGCCCGGGCACATGAGACCCATTCAGCCTGCCCGCGCCCACCACCCCCCCCGCCCCTCCTTGCCTCCCAATGGGGTAGGGGAGAGGAGCTGGGGGAAGAAATTTCTGGGTGCAAGGGAAGGAAACAAGAAGTCCCAAGTTCCCATTATCCCAGCCTCCGTGGTATTTGACAGCAGGAACCTCCATTTTCTGTTAAATGGGAACAACAATGTGGGATTTCAATTCATTATAAAAGGTTAAAAATGCCAATCTAAAGGAACATGCTCAAGAAAACACTTGAATCTATGTATGTGGTTTGCATGTCACCATAGTGGCTCAGATTCAAGATACTTTGGGGAACAAGGTGATCACAGGACCTCAGGTGTGCCTGCAGTCTGGAACTCCCTGTCCAGGACTTCCAGTTGCTTAGACATGAAGATTTGACATTGGTGGGGTCAGCTGTTTTCAAGATGCTGAAGATCTTCCAGGAAGCTGGCACTGGCTCTGTTTAGCAGGAGTGAAGGGGGCAAGTCCTGGCTGGTGAGTGCCCCAGCACCCCAATGGGTCTCTCCTCGCCACCATGAAGAGGAAATGAATCTTGCTTCTTTGAGAAAAGGGTCATGATGAGACTGACTCAGTGATGGGCATGAGAAGCAAATGATATAGGGGCCAGAAGACAGTTTGGGGGGTAAAGGTAAAGTGGAAGGTCAGCCTGGGTGGTCAGCTCCCAGAGGGAGGCATATCCCCACAGGCTTTGCAGCTGGAGGACCAAACAAGCCAAAATGCTCATCACGAGAAAGAAACTTCAGAACCAGCTGGCAAAGAGTTAACTTGTGGCCTGACCCCCCAGGAAAGGTGAAGAGGGAGAAATCTAAGACAACACAGATACTTCCCTGGGGGTGCACTTGGGGTCATGCCTGGGAAGGCTGGGAGTCTGCTGCCTTCTGTGGGCCAGAGATGCCCTGACCCACCCCAATGGGCAGCCGAAGGCATGCCTTCCCCAAGAAAGGATTTGTCAAGTCCCACTCCATGCCTTCCTGTTTGTGAGTCTTGTCAGAATGCTTGTACTTTAGAGCTTTGCACTTCCCTGGTAGCTCAGCTGGTAAAGAATTCGCCTGCAATGGAGGAGACCTCAGTTTGATTCCTGGGTTGGGAAGATCCCCTGGAGAAGGGAACAGCTACCCACTCCAGTATTCTTGCTTGGAGAATTCCCTGGACAGAGGAGAATGGCGGGCCCCAGTCCATGGGGTCACAGAGTCAGACATGACTGAGTGACTTTCACTTCACTTTCACTTTCCCTTCCCCCTGCCCTACCTGAAATAGTTCTGTGGGAGCAGGGACCACATCCCTCTTGATCACAGCTGAACCCTCAACACTTAGAACTGGCCTGGCACCAAGCGGAGACACATGCATGTTTTATCTTTAGAGGAAAGGAAGTGGCTGACACTGGGCCATCTTATGTGACCTGCATCCCACCCCAGGTGGGGCTCTTACCCCGCCTCAGGCAGAAGACAGTCAGAGAGACCAGGGGACACAGACCATGGGCTGGCACGATGTGGGAGACCACAACCTGATTCAGAAGCCATGTCATCAGTGGTCCTCTCCCCACCCCCTTGAAGCAGTTCCTTCCTGTTCAGCCTCCCTTCTTGGGTTGTTAAAGCCTCTCTACTTTTCTTAGCCTTGTGCGGGCACCAAGCAGTGTGGGATGCTGATGAGAGCCCCACCTCTGACACAATCGGCCACGTCCTCCACCTCTTGCCCCCACCTCCTCTTACAGGTTTTGGGTTTCCACATCCATTAGCTCAGGGAGTTGTCCCCAGAAAAGGACACTGTCTTGGTCTACAGATGAAAGGACTGAAGCCCAGAGGGGCTGGAACTCGCTTCTCATTGGCCAACAAGGACTAACGAGCCACGTCTGGAGCCCCGGACTGTATTTCTCACACCTGGTGCTGGCCCTACCTGAACTGCTCGTACTCCAGCAAGACACACGGCCCGCGGCCTGGCTGCCACTCGCCCCCGAGTTCCCAGCGGCCGAATCGGCGGATGTCCACAAAGCAGAGGGCAAGTCGGGGGCCAGGTGGAGCTGTGTAAAAGCGCAGGTGGGCGTGGGGTGGCAGCGCATCGCTGGGCACCAGCTGGAAGGAGCCAGTCATGCCAAAGCGGAAGACAAGGGCCAGTGGCTCCCGTGGGGGCTGGGCCCCAGGCAGAGGGCTCAGGGTCAGGCGCAGCTCCTTGCCGCGGGCCAACGCCGAGATGCTGTAGGCACTGCTCTCAAAGGGCACCTCAGGGTTGCGGCTGACGGGTGACTTCTCCACACACCCACCAAACACCAGCTCCCTGCAAGCGTCGTTCACAAAGTGGCTGGCCAGATGCAGCTCAGGGCCCTCAGGCATTCTGTGGGAGGGGCGGCCAGGCCCTGTGGGGAGGATGACAGCAGGTTGGGCCAGGTGTACATTCAGTGAGGTGGCAATATCACTCCCAATTTTCAAAGGAGAAGCCAGAGGGTCAGAGGAGGGCATGGTCAATGGGAATTGGCAGGAAATCAGCTGGCTTGGCCACAGCCCCTGCTCTGTCCCTCCCCTGCCCCACCCCCTCCCCCATCCCTGAAAATGCTGAGAAAGCCCAGGACACTGGAGAGCTCTGACTTGGGAAATATGACTGCCTTGTTCATTAACACCTTCCATGGGTTTCCAGGAACACTTTCTGATTTTAGAATAAAGACCATATCCTTCCCGGGCCCAGGCTATCATCTCATTTCCTCCCTTGTGTGCCAACCCCCTTGCTCCAAGCACACAGCTCTCCCTGCCCCCACCCCCATCCCCGGCCCTTGCCGTCCCCCTCGGTCTAGAAACTTAAGAGAGGCCCCCTCCTGACCGCTGTATCGGAGGCAGCATCCTCCGTTCCCTGACCCCCTTCATGGCACTCCCAGAACCTGAAATTATTAGCTCCTGTCTGCCTCTGGCTCCACTCCCACCCCAGAATGGGAACTGTGCACGCTCATCTCCCCAGGAATCAGGCCCACCTCCGTTGCCACAATGATTGAGGGAATGAGCCTGGAGGATAAGAGCTGGAATAACGGTGGTTCACAGGCTCTGCCGGCAACAAGGTGGAGGAGCCTGCCCATCACCCACTGGTCAGGACCGAGGCCGAGGCCGAGGCCAAGTAAGAGGGAATGTAGTTGTCTTCAGGTACATTAGAGCTAGAGTCAGGGACACCCGACTTTGAGGGAGGAGGATGGGGCGCCAGGAAGGGCTCCCGAAGCTCCAGGCCATGGTCCAGGGGGACATAGGAAACGCCCGGGTCAGCGTCTCAGGCCAAGAGGGGTGTCCCCCTTCCTCACCCTCATAGGTTCCCATCTGGCTGAGGCAGGGAGCTTGCCAATTTCCTCAAGCCAGTGTCGGGAGATCCGAGGCCAAGGTAGGTGTTGGGCAGGGGGAAGCATTTGGCCAGGCGGACTCCTTTGCCCTCCCCACCCGCAACCTCGGCGCCGCTCCGGGCCTGGCACCCGAAAGGGTTCGTTTTGCGGGAAAAGGTGAACTTCCAGGTTCCTAATTTCGCGAGGGGCGGACGCTCAAGGTCTCGCCTCCTACCCATCCCCCTCCTCCAGCTCCCGCTGCCTGCCCTCGGTTAACCCTGGCTCCCTTCCTCCCCAAGGCCCCCATTCCAGTCCTCTTCTCAGTTCTGCTGCACACACACACACACACACACACACAAACCCCGTCCCCCGTCCCGCCTCAGGCTACCTCGCCCAGCGCCGCTCCCGCAAGCCTGCAGCCACCAAGGGGTTAATGCCGGAGGCGGAGCGGCGCCTAAGAGTATGCTGGGAGCTGCGGACGCTGCTGGGAAATGTAGTTCCTCTTGTAGGTGATAAAGCCTGTAAGGGGTGGAGTTCCAGAGTAGGGGGCCCTGGGGTGTGGGAAAGGCTTCGGTCAGTCACCTGGCTGGGAGGTGGCGGAAGAACCTGGTTCCCACTGCCTGGCGCCGGCGGGTTCCGGGGTCAGGTGTGAGGTCCTGGGTTGCAGCCGACTCTGGCTGTGAGAAGCCACGCGGCTAAGTCCAGGACCTGGTGGGCAATCCCAGCGGTAAACAGCAGCAACTTCCCGAAACAGAGACCCTTGCAGCTGGGCGCAGGGCGCGAACAGGTGCGCGATCAGTGCAGGCTCTGGAGACCCGGTGGTGGCCTTACGTTTCAGCGCTAGTCAGACAGAACACATAAACACCGTCACCGCGGGTGGTAGAGTGCAGCCCGGCAACCAAAAGCAGGGGCGGAGAAGCGGAACCTACGTCCGATGTGGGGAAAGGTCTCTCTGCGGTGACATTTAGGCTGAAACCTCAGAAGGAGTCATCTGGAGAAGAGAGGGGACCAGTCTATAGGGCAGGTGGAAGGAACTGCTAGGGAGGTGGTTAGGAGGAGTGCTGAGAGGGTAGGACCGATACACGAGCAAGGGCCCGTCCCCTCCAACCTCTGGAGGCCTCCATAAGGAGCTGGCATTTCATTCTAAGTGCAGCAGGCTCGGTGCCTGACCCACAGCCGATTCTCCCCCTTCATACTACTTCTCCTTCCTCTCCCTTCATCTATTTATTCGTCTATCTTGCCAAAAGTACTTTAAAGTAAACTAAACAATGCATGCAGGAATGCTAAGTCACTTAAGTTGTGTCCGACTCTGTGTGACACTATGAACTGTAGCCTGCCAGGCTCCTCTGGCCATGGGATTCTCCAGACAAGAATATTGGAGTGGGTTGCCGTACCCTTCTTCAGGGATTCCCAACCCAGGGACAGAACCTGCCTCTCTCTTTTTATTTATTTATTTATTTATTTATTTATTTATTTTTATCACAACCATAGTGTATCTTTTTTTTTTACATGTATTCCCCATCCCGGTCCCCCCTCCCACCTCCCTCTCCACCCAATCCCTCTGGGTCTTCCCAGTGCACCAGGTCCGAGCACTTGTCTCATGCACCCAACCTGGGCTGGTGAACTGTTTCACCCTAGATAATATACGTGTTTCAATGCTGTTCTCTTGAAACATCCCACCCTCGCCTTCTCCCAGAGTCCACAAGTCTGTTCTATACATAGGAGTCTCTTTTTCTGTTTTGCACATAGGGTTATCGTTACCATCTTTCTAAATTCCATATATATGTGTTAGTATACTGTAATGGTCTTTATCTTTCTGGCTTACTTCGCTCTGTATAATGGGCTCCAGTTTCATCCATCTCATTAGAACTGATTCAAATGAATTCTTTTTAATGGCTGAGTAATATTCCATGGTGTATATGTACCACAGCTTCCTCATCCATTCGTCTGCTGATGGGCATCTAGGTTGCTTCCATGTCCTGGCTATTATAAACAGTGCTGCGATGAACATTGGGGTACACGTGTCTCTTTCAGATCTGGTTTCCTCGGTGTGTATGCCCAGAAGTGGGATTGCTGGGCAGAACCTGCCTCTCTTATATCTCCTGCATTGGCAGGCGGGTTCTTTACTACTAGCGCCACCTGGGAAACTCATTAGTGAGTGAGTGAGTGAGTGAGTGAAGTCGCTCAGTCGTATCCGACCCTTTGCGACCCCATGGACTGTAAGCCCACCAGGCTCCTCCGTCCATGGAATTCTCCAAGCAAGAATACTGGAGTGGGTTGCCATTTCCTTCTCCAGGGGATCTTCCCGACCCCAGGGATGGAACCCAGGTCTCCCACATTGCAGGCAGCCGCTTTAACCTCTGAGCCACCAGGGAGCCCTCATTAGATAATACTTTTTACCAAACCTAGTAAAGTTAACAATAACTTTTAAAAAATATGTATTTATTTATTTGGCCGCAGGGAATCTTAGTTGTGGCATGTGACTCTTTAGTTGCAGCATGCAGGATCTAATTCCCTGATCTATTTCCCTCATCAGGTATGGAACCCAGGCCCCCGCTGCATTTGGGAGCACAGAGTCTTAGCCTCTGGACCAGCAGAAAAGTCCCCAACATAATGTCTTAATATTATCTAATACATCCCACATTCAAATTTCCCTAGTTGTCCCCAAAATGTCTTTTATAGCTAGTTTGTTCAAAGCAGGGACCAAACGAGGATTATATGTCTGTTCAATCACTTCCAATCTAGATGGAACCACCCTTCCCACCTCCTACCCACCTCACTTGCCTTTTTTTTGGTCATGATACTTACCTTTCTGAAGAGTTCTTTGAGATGCCCCATCAATATTCTGGATTTGTTTGCTGTTTCCTTGGGTGTTGTTAACTTTTTCCTCTGTCTCTAGTTCTCCCTGCACCCCAGAAATTAGATCTAAAGGCTTGGAAGTGGAAGTGAAAATCACTCAGTCGTGTCCAAATCTTTGGGATCCCATGGACTGTCCATGGAATTCTCCAGGCCAGAATACTGGAGTAGGTAGCCTTTTCCTTCTCCAGGGGATCTTCTCAACCCAGGGATCGAACCCAGGTCTCCCACATTGCAGGCAGATTCTTTACCAGCTAAGCCACAAGGAAAACCCAAGAATACTGGAGTAGGTAGCCTATCCCCCTCCAGGGGATCTTCCCAACCCAGGAATCGAACCGGGGTCTCCTGCATTGCAGGTGGATTCTTTACCAACTGAGCTATCAGGGAAGCCCCAGTATCTCCTAGATGCTGTTCTGTACTCCAAATTGCATGACACCAGGAGACACCCAGCCTCTGGTTGTCTCACTTTAGTGGGGATGAAATTGATCACCGGTGAGGCTGCGACAGCCAGACTTCCGTGTTGTAAAGGTATGTTTCATACCCTGGGACCACTGAGTAATCTATGGGGCGGTTTCTGTTTCCTTAGTTCTGTTTGTTTAATGAAGTTATACAGTAAAATTAATCCATTTTAGAGTGTGAGGGCTTTTTTGTTGTTGTCTTTTTTTTTGCCGTGACAAGGCATACTGGATCTTAGTTCCCCAACCAGGGATCAAACCTGTGCCCCCTGCATTGGAAGTATAGATAACTATTGGACCACCAGGGAAGTCCCTAGAGTGTGACTTTTGACAAATTCATACACTTAATTATCACCACCATCAAGAGATAATACATTTCTATCACCCCCACCCCAAAATTTGCCCATGCACTTTTTAGTCAATATTTACACTGTACCTGTTGACAACCACTGATCTGTTTTCTGCCCATATAGTTTTTGCCAATGTCATACACAGGCATATCTTGTTTTACTGCACTCCACTTTATTGCACATCACAGATAATTGCATTTTTTCTAAACAAATTGAAGTCTGTGGCAATCCTGCTTTGTCAAGATGATAGTTAGCATTTATTGACAATAAAGAATTTTTAAATTTTATTTTATAAAAGTGTAATTGGTTTACAAAGTTGTATTAGTTTCTGTTGCATAGTAAAATGATTCAGTTATATATTTACATATATTATTTTT